AGGAATAGGAGCTACTCTCAGACGTTGGGGTGAGGAATAGGAGCTACTCTCAGACGTTGGGGTGAGGAATAGGAGCTACTCTCAGACGTTGGGGTGAGGAATAGGAGCTACTCTCAGACGTTGGGGTGAGGAATAGGAGCTACTCTCAGACGTTGAGGTGAGGAATAGGAGCTACTCTCAGACGTTGGGGTGAGGAATAGGAGCTACTCTCAGACGTTGGGGTGAGGAATAGGAGCTACTCTCAGACGTTGGGGTGAGGAATAGGAGCTACTCTCAGACGTTGGGGTGAGGAATAGGAGCTACTCTCAGACGTTGGGGTGAGGAATAGGAGCTACTCTCAGACGTAGAGGTGAGGAATAGGAGCTACTCTCAGACGTTGGGGTGAGGAATAGGAGCTACTCTCAGACGTTGAGGGGAGGAATAGGAGCTACTCTCAGACGTTGGGGTGAGGAATAGGAGCTACTCTCAGACGTTGAGGTGAGGAATAGGAGCTACTCTCAGACGTTGGGGTGAGGAATAGGAGCTACTCTCAGACGTTGAGGTGAGGAATAGGAGCTACTCTCAGACGTTGAGGTGAGGAATAGGAGCTACTCTCAGACGTTGGGGTGAGGAATAGGAGCTACTCTCAGACGTTGGGGTGAGGAATAGGAGCTACTCTCAGACGTTGGGGTGAGGAATAGGAGCTACTCTCAGACGTTGGGGTGAGGAATAGGAGCTACTCTCAGACGTTGGGGTGAGGAATAAGAGCTACTCTCAGACGTTGGGGGGAGGAATAGGAGCTACTCTCAGACGTTGGGGTGAGGAATAGGAGCTACTCTCAGACGTTGGGGTGAGGAATAGGAGCTACTCTCAGACGTTGAGGTGAGGAATAGGAGCTACTCTCAGACGTTGAGGTGAGGAATAGGAGCTACTCTCAGACGTTGGGGTGAGGAATAGGAGCTACTCTCAGACGTTGGGGTGAGGAATAAGAGCTACTCTCAGACGTTGGGGTGAGGAATAGGAGCTACTCTCAGACGTTGAGGTGAGGAATAGGAGCTACTCTCAGACGTTGAGGGGAGGAATAGGAGCTACTCTCAGACGTTGGGGTGAGGAATAGGAGCTACTCTCAGACGTTGGGGTGAGGAATAGGAGCTACTCTCAGACGTTGGGGTGAGGAATAGGAGCTACTCTCAGACGTTGGGGTGAGGAATAGGAGCTACTCTCAGACGTTGGGGTGAGGAATAGGAGCTACTCTCAGACGTTGGGGTGAGGAATAAGAGCTACTCTCAGACGTTGGGGTGAGGAATAGGAGCTACTCTCAGACGTTGAGGTGAGGAATAGGAGCTACTCTCAGACGTTGAGGGGAGGAATAGGAGCTACTCTCAGACGTTGGGGTGAGGAATAGGAGCTACTCTCAGACGTTGAGGGGAGGAATAGGAGCTACTCTCAGACGTTGGGGTGAGGAATAGGAGCTACTCTCAGACGTTGGGGTGAGGAATAGGAGCTACTCTCAGACGTTGGGGTGAGGAATAGGAGCTACTCTCAGACGTTGGGGTGAGGAATAGGAGCTACTCTCAGACGTTGGGGTGAGGAATAGGAGCTACTCTCAGACGTTGGGGTGAGGAATAGGAGCTACTCTCAGACGTTGAGGTGAGGAATAGGAGCTACTCTCAGACGTTGGGGTGAGGAATAGGAGCTACTCAGACATTGGGGTGAGGAATAGGAGCTACTCTCAGACGTTGAGGGGAGGAATAGGAGCTACTCTCAGACGTTGGGGTGAGGAATAGGAGCTACTCTCAGACGTTGGGGTGAGGAATAGGAGCTACTCTCAGACGTTGAGGGGAGGAATAGGAGCTACTCTCAGACGTTGGGGTGAGGAATAGGAGCTACTCTCAGACGTTGGGGTGAGGAATAGGAGCTACTCTCAGACGTTGGGGTGAGGAATAGGAGCTACTCTCAGACGTTGGGGTGAGGAATAGGAGCTACTCTCAGACGTTGGGGTGAGGAATAGGAGCTACTCTCAGACGTTGGGGTGAGGAATAGGAGCTACTCTCAGACGTTGGGGTGAGGAATAGGAGCTACTCTCAGACGTTGGGGGGAGGAATAGGAGCTACTCTCAGACGTTGGGGGGAGGAATAGGAGCTACTCTCAGACGCTGAGGGGAGGAATAGGAAGTGAAATATCATTTGGGGGGGGACTGTCCGTCACACGCTAAGACAATCACTGAGTGTATCCCAAATAGCACCCTATTCCCTTTATAGTACAGTCCCCTATGGGCCCTGGTCAGAAGTAGTGCACTTTATAGGGTGCCATTTGGGATGCAGCCTATATATCTTGGAGGGACTGTCCCGTCATACGCTAAGACAATCACTGAGTGTATCCCAAATAGCACCCTATTCCCTTTATAGTACAGTCCCCTATGGGCCCTGGTCAGAAGTAGTGCACTATATAGGGTGCCATTTGGGATGCAGCCTATATATCTTGGAGGGACTGTCCCGTCATACGCTAAGACAATCATAGATATTCATTTCATGTGGTCTGAGATGGATGGATGCTTACGCACCAGGTGAGAAGCAAGTGAAAGTGAAATAAATGAACATGTAAATGAACTACATCTTGGTTAAACTGTTCATTCCTGGCTTGGCATGTTCAGAAAGACGTACAGTGAGGGAAAAAAGTATTTGATCCCCTGCTGATTTTGTAAGTTTGCCCACTGACAAAGAAATGATCAGTCTATAATTTTAATGGTAGGTTTATTTGAACAGTGAGAGACAGAATAACAACAAAAATATCCAGAAAAACGCATGTCAAAAATGTTATAAATTGATTTGCATTTTAATGAGGGAAATACGTATTTGACCCCTCTGCAAAACATGACTTAGTACTTGGTGGCAAAACCCTTGTTGGCAATCACAGAGGTCAGACGTTTCTTGTAGTTGGCCAACAGGTTTGCACACATCTCAGGAGGGATTTTGTCCCACTCCTCTTTGCAGATCTTCTCCAAGTCATTAAGGTTTCGAGGCTGACGTTTGGCAACTCCCTCCCCAGATTTTCTATGGGATTAAGGTCTGGAGACTGGCTAGGCCACTCCAGGACCTTAATGTGCTTCTTCTTGAGCCACTCCTTTGTTGCCTTGGCCATGTGTTTTGGGTCATTGTCATGCCAGAATACCCATCCACGACCCATTTTCAATGCCTTAGCTGAGGGAAGGAGGTTCTCACCCAAGATTTGACGGTACATGGCCCCGTCCATCGTCCCTTTGATGCGGTGAAGTTGTCCTGTCCCCTTAGCAGAAAAACACCCCCAAAGCATAATGTTTCCACCTCCATGTTTGACGGTGGGGATGGTGTTCTTGGGGTCATAAGCAGCATTCCTCCTCCTCCAAACACAGCGAGTTGAGTTGATGCCAAAGAGCTCCATTTTGGTCTCATCTGACCACAACACTTTCACCCAGTTCTCCTCTGAATCATTCAGATGTTCATTGGCAAACTTCAGACGGGCATGTATATGTGCTTTCTTGAGCAGGGGGACCTTGCGGGCGCTGCAGGATTTCAGTCCTTCACGGCGTAGTGTGTTACCAATTGTTTTCTTGGTGACTATGGTCCCAGCTGCCTTGAGATCATTGACAAGATCCTCACGTGTAGTTCTGGGCTGATTCCTCACCGTTCTCATGATCATTGCAACTCCACGAGGTGAGATCTTGCATGGAGCCGCAGGCCGAGGGAGATTGACAGTTATTTTGTGTTTCTTCCATTTGCGAATAATCGCACCAACTGTTGTCACCTTCTCACCAAGCTGCTTGGCGATGGTCTTGTAGCCCATTCCAGCCTTGTGTAGGTCTACAATCTTGTCCCTGACATCCTTGGAGAGCTCTTTGGTCTTGGCCATGGTGGAGAGTTTGGAATCTGATTGATTGATTGCTTCTGTGGACAGGTGTCTTTTATACTGGTAACAAACTGAGATTAGGAGCACTCCCTTTAAGAGTGTGCTCCTAATCTCAGCTCGTTACCTGCATAAAAGACACCTGGGAGCCAGAAATCTTTCTGATTGAGAGGGGGTCAAATACTTATTTCCCTCATTAAAATGTAAATCAATTTATAACATTTTTGCGTTTTTCTGGATTATTTTGTTGTTATTCTGTCTCTCACTGTTCAAATAAACCTACCATTAAAATTATAAACTGATCATTTCTTTGTCAGTGGGCAAACGTACAAAATCAGCAGGGGATCAAATACTTTTTTCCCCTCACTGTACGTCTTTCTGAACATGCCAAGCCAGGAATGAACAGTTTAACCAAGATGTAGTTCATTTACATGTTCATTTATTTCACTTCAGGGGCGATCCCATCCAAACCTCTCTCTATCACTGGTTTGTGCCCCTGAGATTGTGGGTTTCTTGGACCCATTCCCTCTCGTCGGGTAGGGAGTGACGCAGACAGTAGGAGGAATAAGTTATAAATTATAAAGTACAGCTCTATATAACAGAGAACGCTGATTTGTCCCAAATGGCACCCTATGCCCTATATAGTACACTACTTTAGACCAGAGAATGGCACCCTATTCCCTATATAGTGCACTACTTTAGACCAGAGAATGGCACCCTATTCCCTATATAGTGCACTACTTTATACCAGAGAATGGCACCCTATGCCCTATATAGTGCACTACTTTAGACCAGAGAATGGCACCCTATTCCCTATATAGTGCACTACTTTAGACCAGAGAATGGCACCCTATTCCCTATATAGTGCACTACTTTAGACCAGAGAATGGCACCCTATTCCCTATATAGTGCACTACTTTAGACCAGAGAATGGCACCCTATTCCCTATATAGTGCACTACCTTAGACCAGAGAATGGCACCCTATTCCCTATATAGTGCACTACTTTAGACCAGAGCCCTGGCCACTGTATAGGGCATAGGGCACCATTTAGGGCGCAATTACAAGAGTGATTACAGCGATGACACATTTACTCCTAACCGCTGATATCAAATAAAGGCTCTACCATCAGGGGCCATTCTACACCAGAGGAGGAGGTGAAGATGGTCCTGGGATGGCATGTGGAGGAGGACAGGGAGTCTCCCCTGGGATGTCATGTGGAGGAGGACAGGGAGTCTCCCCTGGGATGGCATGTGGAAGAGGACAGGGAGTCTCCCCTGGGATGGCATGTGGAGGAGGACAGGGAGTCTCCCCTGGGATGGCATGTGGAGGAGGACAGAGAGTCTCCCCTGGGATGTAATGTGGAAGAGGACAGGGAGTCTCCCCTGGGATGTCATGTGGAAGAGGACAGGGAGTCTCCCCTGGGATGTCATGTGGAAGAGGACAGGGAGTCTCCCCTGGGATGGCATGTGGAGGAGGACAGGGAGTCTCCCCTGGGATGGCATGTGGAGGAGGACAGGGAGTCTCCCCTGGGATGGCATGTGGAAGAGGACAGGGAGTCTCCCCTGGGATGGCATGTGGAAGAGGACAGGGAGTCTCCCCTGGGATGGCATGTGGAAGAGGACAGGGAGTCTCCCCTGGGATGGCATGTGGAAGAGGACAGGGAGTCTCCCCTGGGATGGCATGTGGAAGAGGACAGGGAGTCTCCCCTGGGATGGCATGTGGAGGAGGACAGGGAGTCTCCCCTGGGATGGCATGTGGAAGAGGACAGGGAGTCTCCCCTGGGATGGCATGTGGAAGAGGACAGGGAGTCTCCCCTGGGATGGCATGTGGAAGAGGACAGGGAGTCTCCCCTGGGATGGCATGTGGAAGAGGACAGGGAGTCTCCCCTGGGATGGCATGTGGAAGAGGACAGGGAGTCTCCCCTGGGATGGCATGTGGAAGAGGACAGGGAGTCTCCCCTGGGATGGCATGTGGAGGAGGACAGGGAGTCTCCCCTGGGATGGCATGTGGAGGAGGACAGGGAGTCTCCCCTGGGATGGCATGTGGAGGAGGACAGGGAGTCTCCCCTGGGATGGCATGTGGAGGAGGACAGGGAGTCTCCCCTGGGATGGCATGTGGAAGAGGACAGGGAGTCTCCCCTGGGATGTAATGTGGAAGAGGACAGGGAGTCTCCACTGGGATGTAATGTGGAAGAGGACAGGGAGTCTCCCCTGGGATGGCATGTGGAAGAGGACAGGGAGTCTCCCCTGGGATGGCATGTGGAAGAGGACAGGGAGTCTCCCCTGGGATGTAATGTGGAAGAGGACAGGGAGTCTCCCCTGGGATGTAATGTGGAAGAGGACAGGGAGTCTCCCCTGGGATGGCATGTGGAGGAGGACAGGGAGTCACCCCTGGGATGGCATGTGGAGGAGGACAGGGAGTCTCCCCTGGGATGGCATGTGGAGGAGGACAGGGAGTCTCCCCTGGGATGGCATGTGGAGGAGGACAGGGAGTCTCCCCTGGGATGGCATGTGGAGGAGGACAGGGAGTCTCCCCTGGGATGTCATGTGGAGGAGGACAGGGAGTCTCCCCTGGGATGGCATGTGGAGGAGGACAGGGAGTCTCCCCTGGGATGGCATGTGGAGGAGGACAGGGAGTCTCCCCTGGGATGGCATGTGGAGGAGGACAGGGAGTCTCCCCTGGGATGGCATGTGGAAGAGGACAGGGAGTCTCCCCTGGGATGGCATGTGGAGGAGGACAGGGAGTCTCCCCTGGGATGGCATGTGGAGGAGGACAGGGAGTCTCCCCTGGGATGGCATGTGGAGGAGGACAGGGAGTCTCCCCTGGGATGGCATGTGGAGGAGGACAAGGAGTCTCCCCTGGGATGGCATGTGGAGGAGGACAGGGAGTCTCCCCTGGGATGGCATGTGGAGGAGGACAGGGAGTCTCCCCTGGGATGGCATGTGGAAGAGGACAGGGAGTCTCCCCTGGGATGTAATGTGGAAGAGGACAGGGAGTCTCCCCTGGGATGTAATGTGGAAGAGGACAGGGAGTCTCCCCTGGGATGGCATGTGGAGGAGGACAGGGAGTCTCCCCTGGGATGGCATGTGGAAGAGGACAGGGAGTCTCCCCTGGGATGGCATGTGGAGGAGGACAGGGAGTCTCCCCTGGGATGGCATGTGGAAGAGGACAGGGAGATGATGATGTGGAGCTGCTGGAGGACTGAGCCTACTCTGTCTCCGTCAGCCGGCAGGGTAGGACCAATCAGACTGGATGTAAATCAGAGGGCGTAGCCAGAAATCAGATTTTGGGTGGGCTTGTGACAAATGAATTGGGCGGAAAAAGTCCATCTAAGCTTGAGGACCCTGTTGTCAGCCTGACGACTCACACTACTTCCACTGCTCTGTCGTTCACTACATACCTTAATCTGAGACGGCCATCTTTGAAGTCGTTTGTGGTGACGAGGGGCACGAGGGGCGTTGTACAAAACAAAATCATCAGCGATCGGATCGTCGCCAACCAATCAGAGTATCGAAGACGATGAAGAATTTTCAAACTGCCGCGTTACCCACGTGTGTTCTAGCTCTGGCCCAACCCATCGGTGTCTGGACCAATCAGATAGCCCCAAATGTGTTCACGTTCGGTGAAGGGTCGGGGAGGTAATCAGATCCAGACTCAATCCAGAGTTTGGAGTCTGGGTAGCCAGGAAGCTCTGTTACGCCAAGTGGAAGAAAGCGCTGGGAAAACAGCACTTAGGCTGAATGAACAGTAGTCTACTGTTGAGATCTCAGACTGGATGTACAGTAGTCTACTGTTGAGATCTCAGACTGGATGTACAGTAGTCTACTGTTGAAATCTCAGACTGGATGTACAGTAGTCTACTGTTGAGATCTCAGACTGGATGTACAGTAGTCTGCTGTTGAGATCTCAGACTGGATGTACAGTAGTCTACTGTTGAGATCTCAGACTGGATGTACAGTAGTCTACTGTTGAGATCTCAGACTGGATGTAGGGTAGTCTACTGTTGAGATCTCAGACTGGATGTACAGTAGTCTACTGTTGAGATCTCAGACTGGATGTACAGTAGTCTACTGTTGATATCTCAGACTGGATGTACAGTAGTCTACTGTTGAGATCTCAGACTGGATGTACAGTAGTCTACTGTTGAGTTCGCAGACTGGATGTACAGTAGTCTACTGTTGAGATCTCAGACTGGATGTACAGTAGTCTACTGTTGAGATCTCAGACTGGATGTACAGTAGTCTACTGTTGAGTTCGCAGACTGGATGTACAGTAGTCTACTGTTGAGATCTCAGACTGGATGTACAGTAGTCTGCTGTTGAGATCTCAGACTGGATGTACGGTAGTCTACTGTTGAGATCTCAGACTGGATGTACAGTAGTCTACTGTTGAGATCTCAGACTGGATGTACAGTAGTCTACTGTTGAGATCTCAGACTGGATGTACAGTAGTCTACTGTTGAGATCTCAGACTGGATGTACAGTAGTCTACTGTTGAGATCTCAGACTGGATGTACAGTAGTCTACTGATGAGATCTCAGACTGGATGTACAGTAGTCTGCTGTTGAGATCTCAGACTGGATGTACAGTAGTCTACTGTTGAGATCTCAGACTGGATGTACAGTAGTCTACTGATGAGATCTCAGACTGGATGTACAGTAGTCTACTGCTGAGATATCAGGACTGGATGTACAGTAGTCTACTGATTGAGATCTCACGGGGTATCTGGAGATATCAGATGATGTACAGTAGTCTACTGCTTGAGTATCTCAGACTGGATGTTTACAGTAGTCTACATGTTGATATCTCAGACCTGGATTACAGTAGGTTCTGCCTGTTGATATTCTCAGGACTGGATGTACAGTAGTCTACTGTTGAGATCTCAGACTGGATGTTACAGTAGTACTAATGTTTGAGATCTCAGGACTGGATGTACAGTAGGTCTACTGCTTGAGATTATTCAGACTGGATGTACAGTAGTCACTTGTGAGATATCAGACTGGATGTACAGTAGTCTACTGTTGAGATCTCAGACGGATGTACAGTAGTCTGCTGTTGAGATCTCAGACTGGATGTACAGTAGCTGCTGTTGAGATCTCAGACTGGATGTACAGTAGTCTGCTGTGAGATCTCAGACTGGATGTACAGTAGTCTGCTGTTGAGATCTCAGACTGGATGTACAGTAGTCTGCTGTTGAGATCTCAGACTGGATGTACAGTAGTCTACTGTTGAGATCTCAGACTGGATGTACAGTAGTCTACTGTTGAGATCTCAGACTGGATGTACAGTAGTCTACTGTTGAGATATCAGACTGGATGTACAGTAGTCTGCTGTTGAGATCTCAGACTGTAATGTGTTCTAGTCTAATGCAGAGCTGCCTGGTTAACGGCTGGATGAAATAACAGGTTGTATAATGGGGATCACAGCGTCTGCTTCCCAAATGACACCCCATTCTCTACGTAGTGCACTGCTTTTGGACCAGAGCATTATGGGCCCTGGTCAGACATAGTGACACTATGTAGGGAGTAGGGTGTCATTTGGGAAGCAGCCAGCAGCACTCTGACCTTTTATACTCCTTTCATAATGCTTACGTTGAATCCATTAGTGACTATCACGAAGCTTCATGGAAGCACTAAAAGGACAACCGTGAAATCAACATAACATTTTCAACATAACATTTTAATAATAATAATAATAATAAATGAATTGTCCATCAATTAGGATCCCTTTCATGATCCCGTTCACGTAGTCCTCTGTAGCTCAGTTGGTAGAGCATGGCGCTTGCAACGCCAGGGTTGCGGGTACGATTCCCACGGGGGACCAGTATGAAAAATGTATGCACTCACTAACTGTAAGTCGCTCTGGATAAGAGCGTCTGCTAAATTACTAAAATGTAACTAAACCAGCTGAGTGCACTGTGTCTGTTTTAGGGCATATTTACTGTTATCAGAGAGCCAGGCCTAATTCAGAGAGGTTCTCAAGGACGTGACCCTTCCTGGCCTAATTCAGAGAGGTTCTCAGGGACGTGACCCTTCCTGGCCTAATTCAGAGAGGTTCTCAAGGACGTGACCCTTCCTGGCCTAATTCAGAGAGGTTCTCAAGGACGTGACCCTTCCTGGCCTAATTCAGAGAGGTTCTCAAGGACGTGACCCTTCCTGGCCTAATTCAGAGAGGTTCTCAAGGACGTGACCCTTCCTGGCCTAATTCAGAGAGGTTCTCAAGGACGTGACCCTTCCTGGCCTAATTCAGAGAGGTTCTCAAGGACGTGACCCTTCCTGGCCTAATTCAGAGAGGTTCTCAGGGACGTGACCCTTCCTGGCCTAATTCAGAGAGGTTCTCAGGGACGTGACCCTTCCAGGCCTAATTCAGAGAGGTTCTCAGGGACGTGACCCTTCCTGGCCTAATTCAGAGAGGTTCTCAGGGACGTGACCCTTCCTGGCCTAATTCAGAGAGGTTCTCAGGGACGTGACCCTTCCTGGCCTAATTCAGAGAGGTTCTCAAGGACGTGACCCTTCCTGGCCTAATTCAGAGAGGTTCTCAAGGACGTGACCCTTCCTGGCCTAATTCAGAGAGGTTCTCAGGGACGTGACCCTTCCTGGCCTAATTCAGAGAGGTTCTCAGGGACGTGACCCTTCCTGGCCTAATTCAGAGAGGTTCTCAGGGACGTGACCCTTCCTGGCCTAATTCAGAGAGGTTCTCAAGGACGTGACCCTTCCTGGCCTAATTCAGAGAGGTTCTCAAGGACGTGACCCTTCCTGGCCTAATTCAGAGAGGTTCTCAGGGACGTGACCCTTCCTGGCCTAATTCAGAGAGGTTCTTAAGGACGTGACCCTTCCTGGCCTAATTCAGAGAGGTTCTCAAGGACGTGACCCTTCCTGGCCTAATTCAGAGAGGTTCTCAAGGACGTGTCCCTTCCTGGCCTAATTCAGAGAGGTTCTCAAGGACGTGACCCTTCCTGGCCTAATTCAGAGAGGTTCTCAAGGACGTGACCCTTCCTGGCCTAATTCAGAGAGGTTCTCAAGGACGTGAACCTTCCTGGCCTAATTCAGAGAGGTTCTTAAGGACGTGACCCTTCCAGGCCTAATTCAGAGAGGTTCTCAAGGACGTGACCCTTCCTGGCCTAATTCAGAGAGGTTCTTAAGGACGTGACCCTTCCAGGCCTAATTCAGAGAGGTTCTCAAGGACGTGACCCTTCCTGGCCTAATTCAGAGAGGTTCTCAAGGACGTGACCCTTCCTGGCCTAATTCAGAGAGGTTCTCAAGGACGTGACCCTTCCAGGCCTAATTCAGAGAGGTTCTCAAGGACGTGACCCTTCCTGGCCTAATTCAGAGAGGTTCTCAAGGACGTGACTCTTCCTGGCCTAATTCAGAGAGGTTCTCAAGGACGTGAACCTTCCTGGCCTAATTCAGAGAGGTTCTTAAGGACGTGACCCTTCCAGGCCTAATTCAGAGAGGTTCTCAAGGACGTGACCCTTCCTGGCCTAATTCAGAGAGGTTCTTAAGGACGTGACCCTTCCAGGCCTAATTCAGAGAGGTTCTCAAGGACGTGACCCTTCCTGGCCTAATTCAGAGAGGTTCTCAAGGACGTGACCCTTCCTGGCCTAATTCAGAGAGGTTCTCAAGGACGTGACCCTTCCAGGCCTAATTCAGAGAGGTTCTCAAGGACGTGACCCTTCCTGGCCTAATTCAGAGAGGTTCTCAAGGACTTGACTCTTCCTGGCCTAATTCAGAGAGGTTCTCAAGGACGTGACCCTTCCTGGCCTAATTCAGAGAGGTTCTCAAGGACGTGACCCTTCCTGGCCTAATTCAGAGAGGTTCTCAAGGACGTGACCCTTCCTGGCCTAATTCAGAGAGGTTCTCAAGGACGTGACCCTTCCTGGCCTAATTCAGAGAGGTTCTCAAGGATGTGACCCTTCCTGGCCTAATTCAGAGAGGTTCTCAAGGACGTGACCCTTCCTGGCCTAATTCAGAGAGGTTCTCAAGGACGTGTCCCTTCCTGGCCTAATTCAGAGAGGTTCTCAAGGACGTGATCCTTCCTGGCCTAATTCAGAGAGGTTCTCAAGGACGTGACCCTTCCTGGCCTAATTCAGAGAGGTTCTCAAGGACGTGAACCTTCCTGGCCTAATTCAGAGAGGTTCTTAAGGACGTGACCCTTCCAGGCCTAATTCAGAGAGGTTCTCAAGGACGTGACCCTTCCTGGCCTAATTCAGAGAGGTTCTTAAGGACGTGACCCTTCCAGGCCTAATTCAGAGAGGTTCTCAAGGACGTGACCCTTCCTGGCCTAATTCAGAGAGGTTCTCAAGGACGTGACCCTTCCTGGCCTAATTCAGAGAGGTTCTCAAGGACGTGACCCTTCCTGCGTCCCAAATGGCACCCTATTCCCTATAAAGTAGACTACTTTGGACCAGAGCCCTGTAGTCCCAGTCGGTATTAGATAGAACGCTCGCCTGTAGGTAAAACAACCTGTGGTTACCTAGGTTACCCCATTGGCTCACAGCAAAAACACTTGACAATTTTTCAAACACCATTTTCTTGTCTGCTTGTTTTAGTCAATTACAAAACGACATTTAAGAAAAATACAACGTCTTAAGATGACTTCTCAACATTGCCTGCTCGCGAGCGTTCACACTACTTAGAAAAACGTGATATTGTAAGGCTTCCTTCAAGCCCCTTTTCATGTAGTAAGAGCTGTATTATTGATGATTCTGTTTCTGTCCCAAATCACAAAAAATTCCCTATGTAGTGCACTACTTTTGACCAGAGCCCTAAATAAGGAATAGGGTGCTATTTGGGATACACCTTCTGTGTCATTTCTGTTATTCTGCAGACTGTATGGAGGGAGACACAAGGCCTGTGACATTATGGAAGGAGAGAGAGATGGAGGGAGACACCAGGCCTGTGACATTATGGAAGGAGAGAGAGATGGAGGGAGGGGGACACCAGGCCTGTGACATTATGGAAGGAGAGAGAGATGGAGGGGGACACCAGGCCTGTGACATTATGGAAGGAGAGAGAGATGGAGGGAGACACCAAGCCTGTGACATTATGGAAGGAGAGAGAGATGGAGGGAGACACCAGGCCTGTGACATTATGGAAGGAGAGAGAGATGGAGGGAGACACCAGGCCTGTGACATTATGGAAGGAGAGAGAGATGGAGGGAGACACCAGGCCTGTGACATTATGGAAGGAGAGAGAGATGGAGGGAGACACCAGGCCTGTGACATTATGGAAGGAGAGAGAGATGGAGGGAGACACCAGGCCTGTGACATTATGGAAGGAGAGAGAGATGGAGGGAGACACCAGACCTGTGACATTATGGAAGGAGAGAGAGATGGAGGGAGACACCAGGCCTGTGACATTATGGAAGGAGAGAGAGATGGAGGGAGACACCAGGCCTGTGACATTATGGAAGGAGAGAGAGATGGAGGGAGACACCAGGCCTGTGACATTATGGAAGGAGAGAGAGATGGAGGGAGACACAGGCCTGTGACATTATGGAAGGAGAGAGAGATGGAGGGAGACACCAGGCCTGTGACATTATGGAAGGAGAGAGAGATGGAGGGAGACACCAGGCCTGTGACATTATGGAAGGAGAGAGAGATGGAGGGAGACACCAGGCCTGTGACATTATGGAAGGAGAGAGAGATGGAGGGGGACACCAGGCCTGTGACATTATGGAAGGAGAGAGAGATGGAGGGAGACACCAGGCCTGTGACATTATGGAAGGAGAGAGAGATGGAGGGAGACACCAGGCCTGTGACATTATGGAAGGAGAGAGAGATGGAGGGAGACACCAGGCCTGTGACATTATGGAAGGAGAGAGAGATGGAGGGGGACACCAGGCCTGTGACATTATGGAAGGAGAGAGAGATGGAGGGAGACACCAGGCCTGTGACATTATGGAAGGAGAGAGAGATGGAGGGAGACACCAGGCCTGTGACATTATGGAAGGAGAGAGAGATGGAGGGAGACACCAGGCCTGTGACATTATGGAAGGAGAGAGAGATGGAGGGAGACACCAGGCCTGTGACATTATGGAAGGAGAGAGAGATGGAGGGAGACACCAGGCCTGTGACATTGGGGACTGAATCAAGTCAAGGGGTCTGAATACTTTCCGAATGCGCTGTATGAGAGAATCTTGCAGCACAGAATAATAATTGACAGTTTGTGTCAGACAGCTCCCTTGCCTTGTTGTTTCTGTGTTACCTAGCAACAGGAGGGCTAGACACCATTCATTCCCTTAACTATCCACCTGGATTGTTAGTGAAGAGAAAGGCTTGTAGAATCAATCACAACACTGTACCTCTTTATCTCAACAGAATGCCTACTCACTGAGTCACCATCACCGCACACACTTCCCGGAACACCCCCAGCCTCCCAAATTGCATTCTGTACTCTTGGACCGGGGCATAATGTTTTCTTGTCTGAACATAGTCTCTCTGATCCCCTCATCGTTTGTTGTGATCTCTGCTAGTCCAAGGCCAGACACTGTGTTTGTTGTGATCTCTGCTAGTCCAAGGCCAGACACTGTGTTTGTTGTGATCTCTGCTAGTCCGAGGCCAGACACTGTGTTTGTTGTGATCTCTGCTAGTCCGAGGCCAGACACTGTGTTTGTTGTGATCTCTGCTAGTCCAAGACCAGACACTGTGTTTGTTGTGATCTCTGCTAGTCCGAGGTCACACACTTCATTCTATAGCTGGAGGACTCCTGATATCGGCAGGAGTGATGGGTATTATTTATCTGTTGTGGTCTAGTGCTGTCTTGTTGCTAGCCGGGGCCATCTACTTTAAGTGCTGCCTGTCTTCCCAGTGGGCTACTTGGTGTGTGAACTGCCGACTGCTATTAAAAACTTGCAGATGATTGTTGACACATCAACCAGGATCAAGGGGCAGAGCAATTTGTGACTGTTGTTGTTTTGGTAATCAGTGGTTGTATTGGACGGGGAGTGGTTTCTCCTCTCCTAGGCAATCAGCAATTAGTACAGGGAGATATGCTCTCCACCTCTGCTAGGAAATTAGCAATTAGTGTTAGTTCTTCAGTCTCCCTTGGTTTCTCAGTGGAAGCTGTAAGCGGCGGCCTCGTCGCCGAAACAAAGACGGTTCTGCCGAGTCGTTCGAGGAAGGAAGGAGTGGAATGCTGCACACCGCTCTCTCACTCTAGTATCTTACCTAGATATTTACAGATGATCTCATTTTGCTCTTTTGTAGCGTTGGCAACTGCTCTTCGTTCTTGGCGACTTCAACCTCCCGAAGTCTGCCTTCGATTAGTTTCTTTCCAACTATCTTTCCCCTCCTTGCCTCTTTTGACCTCACCCTTTCCCAGTCCCCTACAACTCACAAGGCAGGCAATACGCTTGACCTCATCTTTACTAGAGGCTGTTCTCCTACTAATCTCACTGCAACCCTCCTCCAGGTCTCTGATCACTACATTGTTTCCATTTCTGTCTCCCTTTCCTCCAACCCTAACCACTCAGCCCCTACCCAGATGTTCATGCACCGTCGCAATCTTCGCTCTCTCTCTCTCCCACTACTCTCTCCTCTTCTATCCTATCATCTCACCCTTCTGCTAAATCCTTCTCCCTCCTTTCTCCTGATTCTGCCTCTTCGACCCTACTCTCCTCCCTTTCCGCATCCTATGACTCACACTGTCCCCTTTCCTCCAGGCCGGCTCGGCCCTCTCCTCCTGCTCCGTGTCTGAGTGATTAATTGAGAGCTTACAGAACAGGGTGGCAGGCAGCTGAGAGAAAATGGAGGAAAACTAAACTTCCAGAGGACTTATCATCCTTCCACTCCTTCCTCTCTACCTTCTCTTTCTCTGTAACCACTGCTAAAGCCACTTTCTATCCCTCTATTTCAAGCTTCTGCCTCTAACCCTAGGAAACTATTTTCCACCTTCTCCTCCCTCCTTAATCCTCCACCCCCTCCCTATTCCCTCTCTGCAAACGACTTTGTCAACCACTTTGAAAATAACGTTGACGACATGTTCAACCTTTCCAAGTTCTCCCATGGCACCTCACTCCTCCGTACACTCCACTGGCTTCCAGTCGAAGCTCTCATCCACTACAAGACCATGGTGCTTACCTACGGAGCAGCAAGAGGAACTGCCCCTCCCTACCTTCAGGCTATGCTCCAACCCTACACCCCAACCAGAGCACTCCGTTCTGCCACCTCTGGTCTCTTGGCCCTCCCACCCCTATGGGAGGGCAAATCCCACTCAGCCCAGTCCAAGCTCTTCTCTGTCTTGGCACCCCAATGGTGGAACCAGATTTCCCCTGGAGCTATAACAGCAGTCCCTGCCCATCTTCCCAAAACATCTGGAACCCTACCTCGTTAAAGAGTCTCTTAAAGCAGCGTGGAGTGTAAAGTCCCCAGTAAGACACAGTGCTGTGACTTTAATAGAGGCAGCGTGGAGTGTAAAGTCCCCAGTAAGTCACAGTGCTGTGACTTTAATAGAGGCAGCGTGGAGTGTAAAGTCCCCAGTAAGACACAGTGCTGTGACTTTAATAGAGGCAGCGTGGAGTGTAAAGTCCCCAGTAAGTCACAGTGCTGTGACTTTAATAGAGGCAGCGTGGAGTGTAAAGTCCCCAGTAAGACACAGTGCTGTGACTTTAATAGAGGCAGCGTGGAGTGTAAAGTCCCCAGTAAGTCACAGTGCTGTGACTTTAATAGAGGCAGCGTGGAGTGTAAAGTCCCCAGTAAGTCACAGTGCTGTAGTAGAATTTGGGAACTTACCAATATGTTGGGAGTGAAGTCGCCACTAGATGTCACCTCTGGTTGGAATGCAGTCCAGTATCTCTGTAGTCCTCTGACCATGGAGTATGTTCATCTGATAGGCTCATGGTGAAGGGGAACTAGAGAAGAAGAAACACAGAAGAAGAAGACTTCATTAATCTGCTATAAAAGGGATATAAATATTACTGAATGTGAACCTCAACCCACTCTAAAAGGGATATAAATATTACTGAATGTGAACCTCAACCCACTCTAAAAGGATTATAAATATTACTGAATGTGAACCTCAACCCACTCTAAAAGGATTATAAATATTACTGAATGTGAACCTCAACCCACTCTAAAATGATTCTAAATATTACTGAATGTGAACCTCAACCCACTCTAAAAGGATTATAAATATTACTGAATGTGAACCTCAACCCACTCTAAAAGGGATATAAATATTACTGAATGTGAACCTCAACCCACTCTAAAAGGATTATAAATATTACTGAATGTGAACCTCAGCCCACTCTAAAAGGATTATAAATATTACTGAATGTGAACCTCAACCCACTCTAAAAGGATTATAAATATTACTGAATGTGAACCTCAACCCACTCTAAAAGGATTATAAATATTACTGAATGTGAACCTCAACCCACTCTAAAAGGATTATAAATATTACTGAATGTGAACCTCAACCCACTCTAAAAGGATTATAAATATTACTGAATGTGAACCTCAACCCACTCTAAAAGGATTATAAATATTACTGAATGTGAACCTCAGCCCACTCTAAAAGGGATATAAATATTACTTGACAAGCGTAAGAAGATATCTGATGAGGTCAGGACAAACATTTTGTTGTGTGCATTAGGAAGACACAGACAGCTGATATCTGCATATAACATCTCAAATAAAAATATTTTTAAATTAAAATCGTTTCCTTGTATTGCAATATTCTACCATCATAAATCTGTCCAGACAGCGGTGGCGTCTCAAATGGCACCCTGTTCCCTATGTAGTGCACTACTGTTGACCAGAGCCCATTGGGGAATAGGGTCGCATTCTGCACTACTGTTGACCAGGCCCCGTAGGGAATAGGGTGCCATTTGAGACGCCACCTCTGTCTGGACAGCTTTATGATGGTAGAATATTGCAATACAAGGAAAATATATTAATTTAAAAAGATTTTCTTTGAGATGTTATATGCAGATATCAGCTGTCTGCTGTCTGTGGCTTCCTAGGGTGCCATTCTGCACTACTGTTGTCCAGGCCCCATAGGGAATAGGGTGCCATTCTGGACTACTGTTGTCCAGGCCCCATAGGGAATAGGGTGCCATTTGGGACTACTGTTGTCCAGGCCCCATGGGGAATAGGGTGCCATTCTGCACTACTGTTGTCCAGGCCCCATAGGGAATAGGGTGCCATTCTGGACTACTGTTGTCCAGGCCCCATAGGGAATAGGGTGCCATTCTGGACTACTGTTGACCAGACCCCATAGGGAATAGGGTGCCATTCTGCACTACTGTTGTCCAGGCCCCATGGGGAATAGGGTGCCATTCTGGACTACTGTTGTCCAGGCCCCATGGGGAATAGGGTGCCATTCTGGACTACTGTTGTCCAGACCCCATAGGGAATAGGGTGCCATTTGAGACTCAGACAGAGTAATGTGTAATATGTCTTGGACCCCTTCACCTTGGTTCTGCCTGTTAGTGTTGGGGACAGTGAGATCTGATAATGGACTGACCTAGTGAGATGAAGATTTATTGTTGGGTGTACCTTAAAGCCACAATCCTTAATTTGTTTTTTGTTTGTTGTTGTTGTCAAAAGTCAGACCCCACCACTTGGATTGCTATAAAGCTGAGGGATGGTGCTGAAGAAATACAACAGCTCTAGATTAAAATGACCAGCAGCAAATATTGCAGAATGTACCTTTTAAATCACTTTTAATAGAAACCAATATGTGCCTGTCTAATGAATCATGATTGTATGCTCAGCTTCTTTAATATGTGCTTTTTCCATTTTAAATCCATGTATGGTTCTGACTGTGTATGACCAAGCATTTAAATCCATGTATGGTTCTGACTGGGCGTCTGACCAAGCATTTAAATCCATGTATGGTTCTGACTGTGTGTATGACCAAGCATTTAAATCCATGTATGGTTCTGACTGGGTGTATGACCAAGCATTTAAATCCATGTATGGTTCTGACTGGGCGTCTGACCAAGCATTTAAATCCATGTATGGTTCTGACTGGGCGTCTGACCAACCCAGACAACTGACCAGGGTGCAAATACTAGGCTTTTTATTTTCCCAAACTTTAAGTTCTTTAAAAAGTCAGAGATCAGAAACCATAAACCGTATATACACCAGGGTCTTGGGCTGTATACCGTATATATACCGGGGTCTTGGGCTGTATACCGTATATATACCGGGGTCTTGGGCTGTATACCGTATATATACCGGGGTCTTGTATACCGTATATACACCGGGGTCTTGGGCTGTATACCGTATATATACCGGGGTCTTGGGCTGTATACCGTATATATATCGGGGTCTTGGGCTGTATACCGTATATATACCGGGGTCTTGGGCTGTATACTGTATATATACCGGGGTCTTGGGCTGTATACTGTATATATACCGGGGTCTTGGGCTGTATACCGTATATATACCGGGGTCTTGGGCTGTATACCGTATATATACCGGGGTCTTGGGCTGTATACCGTATATATACCAGGGTCTTGTATACCGTATATATACCAGGGTCTTGGGCTGTATACCGTATATATACCTGGGTCTTGTATACCATATATATACCGGTGTCCTGGACTGTATACCGTATATATACCAGGGTCTTGTATACCGTATATATACCAGGGTCTTGGGCTGTATACCGTATATATACCGGGGTCTTGGGCTGTATACCGTATATATACCAGGGTCTTGGGCTGTATACCGTATATATACCAGGGTCTTGGGCTGTATACCGTATATATACCGGGGTCTTGGGCTGTATACCGTATATATACCGGGGTCTTGGGCTGTATACCGTATATATACCGGGGTCTTGGGCTGTATACCGTATATATACCAGGGTCTTGGGCTGTATACCGTATATATACCGGGGTCTTGGGCTGTATACCGTATATATACCGGGGTCTTGGGCTGTATACCGTATATATACCGGGGTCTTGGGCTGTATACCGTATATATACCGGGGTCTTGGGCTGTATAACGTATATACACCGGGGTCTTGGGCTGTATACCGTATATATACCAGGGTCTTGGGCTGTATACCGTATATATACCAGGGTCTTGAGCTGTATACCGTATATACACCGGGGTCTTGGGCTGTATACCGTATATACACCGGGGTCTTGGGCTGTATACCGTATATATACACCGGGGTCTTGGGCTGTATACCGTATATATACCGGGGTCTTGGGCTGTATACCGTATATATACCGGGGTCTTGGGCTGTATACCGTATATATACCGGGGTCTTGGGCTGTATACCGTATATATACCGGGGTCTTGGGCTGTATACCGTATATATACCGGGGTCTTGGGCTGTATACCGTATATATACCAGGGTCTTGTATACCGTATATATACCGGGGTCTTGGGCTGTATACCGTATATATACCGGGGTCTTGGACTGTATACCGTATATATACCGGGGTCTTGGGCTGTATACCGTATATATACCAGGGTCTTGTATACCGTATATATACCGGGGTCTTGGGCTGTATACCGTATATATACCGGGGTCTTGGGCTGTATACCGTATATATACCAGGGTCTTGGGCTGTATACCGTATATATACCGGGGTCTTGGGCTGTATACCGTATATACACCGGGGTCTTGGGCTGTATACCGTATATATACACCGGGGTCTTGGGCTGTATACCGTATATATACCGGGGTCTTGGGCTGTATACCGTATATACAGTACCAGTCAAAAGTTTGGACACCTACACCATAGATATATATATACTACTGGTCAAAAGTTTTAGAACACCTACTCATTCCAGGGTTTTCCTTTAGTTTTACTATTTTCTACATTGTAGAATAATAGTGAAGACATCAAAACTATGAAATAACACATATGGAATCATGTAGTAACCAAAAAAGTGTTAAACAAATAGCCACCCTTTACCTTGATGACAGCTTTGAACACTCTTGCCATTCTCTCAACCAGCTTCATGAGGTAGTCACTTGGAATGCATTTCAATTAACAGGTGTGCCTTCTTAAAAGTTAATTTGTGGAATTTCTTTCCTTCTTAATGCGTTTGAGCCAATCAGTTGTGTTGTGACAAGGTAAGGGGGGTATACAGAAGATAGCCCTATTTGGTAAAAGACCAAGTCCATCATATGGCAAGAACAGCTCAAATAAGCAAAGAGAAACGACAGTCCATCATTACTTTAAGACATGAAGGTCAGTCAATACGGAACATTTCAAGAACTTTGAAAGTTTCTTCAAGTGCAGTCGCAAAAACTATAAAGCACTATGATGAAACTGGCTCTCATGAGGACCGCCACAGGAATAGAAGACCCAGAGTTACCTCTGCTGCAGAGGATAAGTTCATTAGAGTTACCAGCCTCAGAAATTGCAGCCCAAATAAATGCTTCACAGAGTTCAAGTAACAGACACATCTCAACATCGACGGTTCAGAGGAGACTGTGTGAATCAGGCTTTCATTTGTCGAATTGCTGCAAAGAAACCACTACTAAAGGACACCAATAATAAGAAGAGACTTGCTTGGGCCAAGAAACACGAGCAATGTGTCCTTTGGTCTGCAGTCCAAATTTGAGATTTTTGGTTCCAACCACCTGTCACGCCCTGGCTCTGGGGACTCTTATATGTTGAGCCAGGGTGTGGAGTTTCTATGTGTTATTTTCTATGTTGTGTTCTAGTTCGTGTTTTCTATGTTGGCCAGGGTGGTTCCCAATCAGAGGCAGCTGATTCTCATTGTCTCTGATTGGGAACCATACTTAGGCAGCCTTTTGGCACTAGTTTATTGTGGGATCTTGTTCCGTGTAAGGTATGTGTTTGTTTAACCTTGGACTTCACGTATCGTTTTGTTGTTTTGTAGAATTGTAAAAGTACTCATTAAAAGTATGTACGCATACCTCCCGAGTGGTGCAGTGGTCTAAGGCACTGCATCGCAGTGCTAGCTGTGCCACTAGAGATCCTGGTTTGAATCCAGGCTCTGTCGTAGCCGGCCGCGACCGGGAGACCCATGGGGCGGCGCACAATTGGCCCAGCGTCGTCCAGGGTAGGAGAGGGAATGGCCGGCAGGGATGTAGCTCAGTTGGTAGAGCATGGCGTTTTCAACGCCAGGGTTGTGGGTTTGATTCCCACGGGGGGCCAGTATGAAAAATACAAAAAATAATGTATGCACTCACTAACTGTAAGTTGCTCTGGATAAGAGCGTCTGCTAAATGACTAAAATGTAAATGTAAAATATCACCCTGCGCCTTGGTCCGTTCATTATGACGAGCGTGACAGAAGATCCCACCTCGACTGGATCAAGCAGCGTGACGAGGAGAGAGGATGGACGTGGGAAGAGGAGAGTGAGAGTCTGGCGAGAGCCATGGAGGCCATGTTCACGGGGGAGAGACAAGCCCAAACATTTTTTAGGGGGGGGCTCACGCCGTGGACGACGAGGCAGCGGGAGGCCGCGATAGAGCGGTTCAGCAGGTTTGCAGAGGAGGCCGCCAGGTTACGGGGGCCACTGGTCACGAGGGAAAAGGAGAGAGGCACGGCGAGAGGTACTGGGGTGTGTTACCAGTCCGGTCCGGCCCGTTCCTGATCCCCGCACAAGGCCAGTGGTGTGTGTTCCCAGTACGGTCCGGCCTGTTCCTGTCCCTCGCACCAAGCCTGTGGTGCGCGTCGCCAGCCCAGTCCGGCCTGTTCCTGCTCCCCGCACCAAGCCAGTGGTGCGCGTCGCCAGCCCGGTTCGGCCTGTTCCTGCTCCCCGCACCAAGCCAATGGTGCGCGTCGCCAGCCCGGTCCGGCCCGCTCCTGCTCCCCACACCAAGCCAGTGGTGCGCGTCGTCAGTCTGGCACGGTCCGTGCCTGTTCCACCTGTGCCTGGTCCGGCACCGGTCAGCTACTCCACACCGGAGCCAGAGCAATCCGCTCCACCGGTGTTCAGTCCAGCTCCGGCCCCTCCCCTGTTGGGTTTAGTTGGTGCGGTCGCAGTCCGCGCCTTTGGGGGGGGGGGGTACTGTCACGCCCTGGCTCTGGGGACTCTTATATGTTGAGCCAGGGTGTGGAGTTTCTATGTGTTATTTTCTATGTTGTGTTCTAGTTCGTGTTTTCTATGTTGGCCAGGGTGGTTCCCAATCAGAGGCAGCTGATTCTCATTGTCTCTGATTGGGAACCATACTTAGGCAGCCTTTTGGCACTAGTTTATTGTGGGATCTTGTTCCGTGTAAGGTATGTGTTTGTTTAACCTTGGACTTCACGTATCGTTTTGTTGTTTTGTAGAATTGTAAAAGTACTCATTAAAAGTATGTACGCATATCACGCTGCGCCTTGGTCCATAAATTATGACGAGCGTGACACCACTGTGTCTTTGTGTGGGTGAACGGATGATCGCTGCTGTATATTTCCACCGTAAATCTTAGTTAGTTTTAAAAAAGCAACGGTAGCAAGGATTATCTACATACTGGGCAGCTCATGTTATAGACGGAAGCTTGCTACATGGCAGACCAATCCATTATATATATATAATAATATAATAATAACATAATATAATAATATAATAATAATAATAATAATAATAATAATAATAATAATATGCCATTTAGCAGACGCTTTTATCCAAAGCGACTTACAGTCATGCGTGCATACATTTTTGTGTATGGGTGGTCCCGGGGATCGAACCCACTACCTTGGCGTTACAAGCACCGTGCTCTACCAGCTGAGCTACAGAGGACCACAGTGCATATACAGTGCATTCAGTACAAAAGGTGTATTTTAAAATATAAAAAGTCAAGAAAAGTTTGCAGACCCTTTTACTTTTTTATATTTTAAAATACGCCTTTTTATTTTAAAGGAAAATATATATTTTTAAAATAAAATATAAAAAAAGTCATTGCCACGACTGCCTCCGAAGCTGCCTCATCTCCTGGTTCGGGCAGGCTTCGGCGTTCGTTGTCACCGGCCTTCTAGCCACTGTCACTCCTCTTTTCATCATTCCATTGGTTTTGTCTTGTTTTTCACACAAACCTGGTTCATATCCCCTCATCAGTCTCTGTATAATTATCCCCTCTGCTCCCCCATGTCTTTGTGTGTTATCGTTCCATGTGGAGGTGTCGCTAGCTCGTGTTGAGCATTATGTTACTTTTATCGCCGGGATATTCACCTGTGTGTTTTGTTTTCCCAGTACGCATTTAATAAATATTCAGACCCTTTGCTATGAGACTCGAAATTGAGCTCAGGTGCATCCTGTTTCCATTGATCATCCTTGAGATGTTTCTACAACTTCACTGGAGTCCACCTGTGGTAAATTAAATTGATTGGACATGATTTGGAAAGGCACACACCTGTCTATATAAGGTCCCACAGTTGACAGAGCATGTCAGAGCAAAAACCAAGCCATGAGGTCGAAGGAATTGTCTGTAGAGCTCCGAGACAGGATTGTGTCGAGGCACAGAACTGGGGAAGGGTACAAAAAAAGTCTGCAGCATTGAAGGTCCCCAAGAACACAGTGGCCTCCATCATTCTTAAATGGAAGACGTTTGGAACCACCAAGACTCTTCCTAGAGATGTCACAGGAAGGCCAAAAAGATAATCAAGGACATCAACCACCCGAGCCACTGCCTGTTCACCCTGCTATCATCCAGAAGGCGAGGTCAGTACAAGTGCATCAAAGCTGGGACCAAGAGAATGAAAAACAGCTTCTATCTCAAGGCCATCAGACTGTTAAATAGCCATCCCTCGCAAATTCCATTCCTTACTATATTTGTGTGTATTGGGTATAAGTTATGAAATTGTTTGATATTACTTGTTAGATATTACTGCACTGTCGGAGCTAGAAGCACAAGCATTTCGCTACACCCGCAATAACCTGCTAAACAAGTGTATGTGACAAATACAATTTCATTTGATTTGATGACAGCCCACTTGGAGTTTGCCAAAAGGCACCTGAAGGACTCTCAGACCATGAGAAACAAGGTTCTCTGGTCTAATGAAACCAAGATTGAACTACACTGCTCAAAAAAGTAAAGGGAACACTTAAACAACACAATGTAACTCCAAGTCAATTACACTTCTGTGAAATCAAACTGTCCACTTAGGAAGCAACACTGATTGACAATAAATGTCACATCCTGTTGTAAAAATGGAATAGACAACAGGTGGAAATTATAGGCAATTAGCAAGACACCCCCAATAAAGAAGTGGTTCTGCAGGTGGTGACCACAGACCACTTCTCAGTTCCTATGCTTCCTGGCTGATGTTTTGGTCACTTTTGAATGCTGGCGGTGCTTTCACTCTAGTGGTAGCATGAGACGGAGTCTACAACCCACACAAGTGGCTCAGGTAGTGCAGCTCATCCAGGATGGCACATCAATGCGAGCTGTGACAAGAAGGTTTGCTGTGTCTGTCAGCGTAGTGTCCAGAGCATGGAGGCGCTACCAGGAGACAGGCCAGTACATCAGGAGACGTGGAGGAGGCCGTAGGAGGGCAACAACCCAGCAGCAGGACCGCTACCTCCGCCTTTGTGCAAGGAGGAGCAGGAGGAGCACTGCCAGAGCCCTGCAAAATGACCTCCAGCAGGCCACAAATGTGCATGTGTCTGCTCAAACGGTCAGAAACAGACTCCATGAGGGTGGTATGAGGGCCCGACGTCCACAGGTGGGGATTGTGCTTACAGCCCAACACCGTGCAGGACGTTTGGCATTTGCCAGAGAACACCAAGATTGGCAAATTTGCCACTGGCGCCCTGTGCTCTTCACAGATGAAAGCAGGTTCACACTGAGCACATGTGACAGACGTGACAGAGTCTGGAGACGCCGTGGAGAACGTTCTGCTGCCTACAACATCCTCCAGCATGACCAGTTTGGCGGTGGGTCAGTCATGGTGTGGGGTGGCATTTCTTTGGGGGGCCGCACAGCCCTCCATGTGCTCGAGATGAGATCCTCAGACCCCTTGTGAGACCATATGCTGGTGCGGTTGCCCTGGGTTTCTCCTAATGCAAGACAATGCTAGACCTCATGTGGCTGGAGTGTGTCAGCAGTTCCTGCAAGAGGAAGGCATTGATGCTATGGACTGGCCCACCCGTTCCCCAGAACTGAATCCAATTGAGCACATCTGGGACATCATGTCTTGCTCCATCCACCAACGCCACGTTGCACCACAGACTGTCCAGGAGTTGGCGGATGCTTTAGTCCAGGTCTGGGAGGAGATCCCTCAGGAGACCATCCGCCACCTCATCAGGAGCATGCCCAGGCGTTGTAGGGAGGTCATACAGGCACGTGGAGGCCACACACACTACTGAGCCTCATTTTGACTTGTTTTAAGGACATTACATCAAAGTTGGATCAGCCTGTAGTGTGGTTTTCCACTTTAATTTTGAGGGTGACTCCAAATCCAGACCTCCATGGGTTGATACATTTGATTTCCATTGATAATTTGTGTGTGATTTTGTTGTCAGCACATTCAACTATGTAAAGAAAAAAGTATTTAATAAGATTATTTCATTCATTCAGATCTAGGATGTGTTGTTTAAGTGTTCCCTTTATTTTTTTGAGCAGTGTATTTGGCCTGAATGTCCCGTCTGGAGGAAACCTGGCACCATCCCTACGGTGAAGCATGGTGGTGGCAGCATCCCTACGGTGAAGCATGGTGGTGGCAGCATCATGCTGTGGGGATGTTTTTCAGCGACAGGGACTGGGAGACTAGTCAGGATCAAGGGAAAAAAGAACGGAGCAAAGTACAGAGAGATCCTTGATGAAAACCTGCTCCAGTGCGCTCAGGACCTCAGACTGGGGCGAAGGTTTACCTTCCAACAGGACAACGACCCAAAAAACACAGCCAAGACAACGCAGGAGTGGCTTCTGGACAAGTCTCAGTAATGTCCTTGAGTGGCCCAGCCAGAGCCCGGACTTGAACCCGATCGAACATCTCTGGAGAGACCTGAAAATAGCTGTGCAGCGATGCTCCCCATCCAACCTTACAGAGCTTGAGAGGATCCACAGAGAAGAATGGCAGAAACTCCCCAAATACAGGTGTGCCAAGCTTGTAGCGTCATACCCAAGAAGACTTGAGGCTGTAATAAAAACAAAACAAAACATTTTGATAAAAAACAACATGTAATACGTTCAAATGCCTCTCCTATTAAGTAGTGAATTGAGACATACTCCTAGCTTCCTGGAACGGGTCACAATTTTGGTTTGATGGGATAGTACTAAGAGCAATAGGTTGCATCCCAAATGGCACCCTATTCCCTATATAGTGCACTACTTTAGACCAGGGCCCTATGGCACCCTATTCCCTATATAGTGCACTACTTTAGACCAGAGCCCTATGGCACCCTATTCCCTATATAGTGCACTACTGTAGACCAGGGCCCTATGGCACCCTATTCCCTATATAGTGCACTACTTTAGACCAGAGCCCTATGACACCCTATTCCCTATATAGTGCACTACTTTAGACTAGAGCCCTATGGCACCCTATTCCCTATATTGTGCACTACTTTAGACCAGAGCCCTATGACTCCCTATTCCCTATATAGTGCACTACTTTAGACCAGGGCCCTGTGGGTGTTGGAGTGCTGTACTAGAAAGGGAATAGGGTGTCATTAGGGACGCATCCATGATAGCACCTTCAGTACGTTGGATCTCAGCATATACCAACCACAGTGGGATAGTAACAAAACACAGAGCACTGCCATCTTAGGTGAGTGGATGCCTAAAAAGGCAAACTCGACTCGCTCAGAGAGAGCAGCTCTCGGGCGAGAGAGAATAAGAGGAAGAGCGGGAAGAGGGGAGGAGAGAGAGGGAGAGAGTCTCTCTCTCTCTCTCTCTCTCTTTCTCTCGCTCTCTCTCTCTCTCTCAATCTCTCCTCTCTCTCTCTCTCTCTCTCTCTCTCTCTCTCTCTCTCTCTCTCTCTCTCTCTCTCTGAATTATCAAACGATAGGAAGCCTGTATTTAAATCCCTTTGTGAGACTATAACTAAAAGGTTAAATAATAGAAGGTGATTATTTTGGTCCAAAGAAAGAACCAGAGGTCAGGCTACCAGAGAAAGTGACCCTCACGATAACAACCAGAGCTATTCATTTTCCATGAGCTATGACCTTTTATGTAGATCACAGAAAAATCCTCTCTCTCACTGGAGTAAATCTGATGGGCAGAGAGAAACACATACACAGGATATCTGGAAAACATGAGACAAAACATATCGTTTCCACCGAGTAAATTACACAGCACCTTGTGTGGGTAGTTAGGAGCAACTGCAGCATTTCAAGTGGAACGCCATCAACAATCTTATTGTCTGAGAAATCCCTCACCAGACAACATAACAGACGTCAGTTGGCGAAACAGGACTGATAATCAATAGTAATGATAGTTAAGTTATTGGACCATTTGAATGTCAGGGTTCTGCGTACTGTATTGCACCTGTCTGTTCTCGCCCAGCACTGATGTTGCTGAAATCTTCTTTACTGAGGAACGTTTTACTGACTGTGAGATGTGGTTGTTTTACCCAGCACTGATGTTGCTGAAAGCTGCTGTCACGTACGTTAAGGAACGGGACGGACCAAGGTGCAGCGTGAAAGGCGTACATGTTAAGGAACGGGACGGACCAAGGTGCAGCGTGAAAGGCGTACATGTTAAGGAACGGGACGGACCAAGGTGCAGCGTGAAAGGCGTACATGTTAAGGAACGGGACGGACCAAGGTGCAGCGTGAAAGGCGTACATGTTAAGGAACGGGACGGACCAAGGTGCAGCGTGAAAGGCGTACATGTTAAGGAACGGGACGGACCAAGGTGCAGCGTGAAAGGCGTACATGTTTATTAAAGAATAAACACACGACACAGTAACCAAAATAACAAAACTTAACCGTGACGGTCCAAAGTCTAACACACAAGCCTAAAACAGGAACACAATAAAAACCCACAACACAGGCAGGAAAACTAGCTGCCTAAGTATGATCCCCCAATCAGAGACAACGAGCGACCGCTGCCTCTGATTGGGAACCACACCCGGCCAAACATAGAAATACAAACCTAGAATATTCACACCCTGACCAAACTAGCTAGAGTTCTATAGGCCAGGGCGCGACAGCTGCTTTACTGAGGAGCGTTTTACTGACTGTGAGATGTGGTTGCCTAGCACCGAAAGCACCAACTGTATGTCGCACTGGATAAGAGCGTCTGCAAGATGTAAAATTTAAAATGTAATGGTTGGCTAACCTAAAAGTTTAATAAGATAGTTCTATAGGCTGTCGCTGAGGTCGTATCACCGTAAAGTCTGTTTTTACATCCAATGAGAATTACAATCGTTTCTCAATGTATTCTGGAGAGAGAAAAAATCCAGCTTTCTCCCTTTCGATAACCACTCAGCGTGAACGGGAATAATGTCATGCTCTGATCCAGTGGAAACGTCATAAAATAGGCCTCCCTGATTACTTCTTATCAGTGCTTGACTTGGACTGAAATAGGTTCCAGTACTCATGTTGGGTGCTGTTACTGTGTATATTAAGGTGCAGAAGCTCCACAATATCTTGGAGCTAATATTCTGTAAGAGGAACAGGAGCTCAAGCAGTAGAAATCTGAGGTGCCGGAACTCTGCGCCGGTGAGCTCCTGCCCAAGTCAAAATGAAATTAAACTGTTTCACGAAAATGTGCATATGAAAACCATAACTGGCACGCAGATCGGTAGAAATTGTAAGATAAATTGGCAAAGTTGCTGATTCCTTGTGTAGCTTATTACCGGCAACTTCATGAGAGTAACGTCAGAATCTGTGAAAGCCAGCAGGAGCAGGAGGAGAATAGTTGGGTCAGGTTAAGGTTGTTTTCTTCTGGTTATCTAGATCTCTGGTGCCCTCTTGAGGCATTTGTCTTATTTAATCAAACCGTAAGCTTAAAGCATCCCACAAGCTCAATGCATATAGTTGATTTTATTAAAATATATAGGGTGTGTCTATATATGGAAAAATACACTTTTAAAAAAATGTCAATCAATCGATTGGTCGAAAGAACAGATGATTTTCGATTGACCAATATTTTTTTTGTATGTGGTTGTATAAAGATGTGCTCCGGAAATACCAGACTAGCCCTGTGCTGTATAAAGATGCTGCACATCACTGAAATGTCAACCTAGAAACATAAAGTCGCTTTTAGAACGTTACAATAGCCATGAGAAGAACATCCAGGAATCCACAACAATATCGACTTATCGCCTACCACCTCAGACTGGGGCTGCAGACCAAACGGCCCTGGTCAAAAGTAGTGCACTATGCAGGACATGGGAAGTCATTTGGGACACAGAGAGGGAGAACGCTGACTTCATTACGTTACAGATTACAGCAGCCCTACGCCAGTGAAACAGAAAATAATTTAATTAATGTATTTAATTTTTATTTAATTGAACTCCACAGTAAAAGCAAGAAACACTTCACCTAAAAAACCATCTGTGTGAAAATGGCCTCGATTCCTGTTTTGAAGCCAGAGTGTGTTCGTCTCTCAGCGCCATTGGGAATATTATGTTTTAACAGCGTCCTAAAAAAGAACGTTACATGTACTTTTCAAACAGCCCCATGTTTGTCAGAATGCCCTGTGTACCACCACCATCCAATGAAATCCACAAGAGAGCCCCTTTATCTTTCTGTGACAGTGTAGACAGGCCAGGAGGTAGAAGCTCCAGTGTGTCTCCAGGTGTATTAGTGGTAGGATACCGTTGTTGGTTCTGTGTTTGGTGCAACACTTCCCTCCCAAGTTACATACAGTGCACACACACACACACACACACACACACACACACACACACACACACACATACACACACACACACAGAAAACACAACAGAGGTCAGACAGATTGTATATAAAAAATAACAGATGGTTTCAATGGCCATTACAAGTCTTTTCAACTGGACAGGAATGTGTGTGCTTTATGCCTGGACAGAGCAACAGAGTGGAAAACAGTGGCAAGAGTTACTGAGAGGACCATCTAATTATATGAATATATATATATTATCACAAGTGTTACTGAGAGGACTATCTAATTATATGAATATATATATATATATTATCACAAGTGTTACTGAGAGGACTATCTAATTATATGAATATATATATATATATATTATCACAAGTGTTACTGAGAGGACTATCTAATTATATCAAATTAAATGAAGCATCAAAGATAGACACCAAGCTTTGGAATATAATAAATATTATATATATGGAATAGATGAGGATAAATATTGTCTCTGGCCCCTCAGAGCTGAGCCGATCACAATATGATGGCCTGTGTTCGTTCTCTCTCTCTCTCTCCAGTTTCTTCAAAAGCTACGGTGGTACGCAGTATTTCCAGATTGTCCATTTCACTCTGGGAAATGGCTGAGGTCTGATTACAGAATAACTCAAAGGTCCCCTTATTGATTACAGAATATCTAAATAACCCAAAGGTCCCCTAATTGATTACAGAATATCTAAATAACCAAAAGGTCCCCTAATTGATGACAGAATATCTAAATAACCAAAAGGTCCCCTAATTGATTACAGAATATGTAAATAACTCAAAGGTCCCCTAATTGATGACAGAATATCTAAATAACCAAAAGGTCCCCTAATTGATTACAGAATATGTAAATAACTCAAAGGTCCCCTAATTGATGACAGAATATCTAAATAACCAAAAGGTCCCCTAATTGATGACAGAATATCTAAATAACCAAAAGGTCCCCTAATTGATGACAGAATATCTAAATAACCAAAAGGTCCCCTAATTGATTACAGAATATGTAAATAACTCAAAGGTCCCCTAATTGATGACAGAATATCTAAATAACCCAAAGGTCCGCTAATTGATGGCAGAATATCTAAATAACCCAAAGGTCCCCTCTACGCTCTAAACCAAACCAAAAGAAAACACTGTGCCAGAGAATACAGAGGTCATTACCCAGAGGAAGGTCATTACCCAAAGGGAGGTCATTACCCAGAGGAAGGTCATTACTCAGAGGGCGGTCGTTACCCGAGGGAGGACGTTACCCGAGGGAGGTCATTACCCAGAGGATACAGAGGTCATTACCCAGAGGATACAGAGGTCATTACCCAGAGGGAGGTCATTAGCCAGAGGGAGGTCATTACCCAGAGGGAGGTCATTACCCAGAGGGAGGTCATTATCCAGGAGGAGGTCATTACACAGAGGGAGGTCATTTCCCTGAGGGAGGTTATTACCCAGAGGATACAGAGGTCATTACCCAGAGGATAAAGAGGTCATTACCCAGAGGATACAGAGGTCATTACCCAGAGGATACAGAGGTCATTACCCAGAGGATACAGAGGTCATTACCCAGAGGATAAAGAGGTCATTACCCAGAGGATACAGAGGTCATTACCCAGATGATACAGAGGTCATTACCCAGAGGATACAGAGGTCATTACCCAGAGGATACAGAGGTCATTACCCAGAGGATACAGAGGTCATTACCCAGAGGATACAGAGGTCATTACCCAGAGGATACAGAGGTCATTACCCAGAGGATACAGAGGTCATTACCCAGAGGATACAGAGGTCATTACCCAGAGGATAAAGAGGTCATTACCCAGAGGATACAGAGGTCATTACCCAGAGGATACAGAGGTCATTACCCAGAGGATACAGAGGTCATTACCCAGAGGATAAAGAGGTCATTACCCAGAGGGAAAATAACTCAGCTAGAGGAGATTTTACACCACATCATCATCATCATCATCATCATCAGTAGTAAGTCATTGTACAAAGTACAAAGAGAGAACCCATCATCATGGTCATTGACTCTGCTTATCCTTACATCTGACATCCTCATGGTCATTGACTCTGCTTATCCTTACATCTGACATCATCATGGTCATTGACTCTGCTTATCCTTACATCTGACATCCTCATGGTCATTTCCTAGAATAAAGAGTGAGATTTTCTTCCCGTCAGTTGATGTTGGCACATGTTGGTAATACTCAGCAGTAGATGGTCACTAGAAACCAGACCACTCTTTAAGATGTCAAACACACACTTCCTGTAGAGGTCACACACACTCTACCGTTCAAACACACATACACACACAGACACACACACACAGACACACACACTACCGTTCAAACACACATACACACACAAAGACACACACACACAGACACACACACTACCGTTCAAACACACATACACAAACACACACAGACACACTCTACCAGAGTGCCATGGCAACAGATCTGCCCGTCTGCCAATGACCCGATGCCAACTATCTCTCAGAGCAGAGTCAGTCAGCCCTGTAGCCCTGCAGAGCACACCACACACCCTGCTCCTCAACACCACTCCCTGCTCCTCAACACCACCCCCTGCTCCTCAACACCACCCCCTGCTCCTCAACACCACCCCCTGCTCCTCAACACCAACCCCTGCTCCTCAACACCACACCCTGCTCCTCAACACCACACCCTGCTATTCAACACCACACCCTGCTCCTCAACACCACACCCTGCTCCTCAACACCACACCCCCTGCTCGTCAACACCACACCCCCTGCTCCTCAACACCACACCCTGCTCCTCAACACCACACCCTGCTCCTCAACACCACACCCTGCTCCTCAACACCACACCCCCTGCTCCTCAACACCACACCCTGCTCCTCAACACCACACCCTGCTCCTCAACACCACACCCCCTGCTCCTCAACACCACACCCTGCTCCTCAACACCACACCCTGCTCCTCAACACCACACCCTGCTCCTCAACACCACACCCTGCTCCTCAACACCACTCCCTGCTCCTCAACACCACACTCCCTGCTCCTCAACACCACACCCTGCTCCTCAACACCACACCCTGCTCCTCAACACCACTCCCTGCTCCTCAACACTATACCCTGCTCATCAACACCACCCCCTGCTCCTCAACACCACACCCTGCTCCTCAACACCACTCCCTGCTCCTCAACACCACACCCTGCTCCTCAACACCACCCCCTGCTCCTCAACACCACACCCCCTGCTCCTCAACACCACACCCTGCTCCTCAACACCACACCCCCTGCTCCTCAACACCACACCCTGCTCCTCAACACCACACCCCCTGCTCCTCAACACCACACCCTGCTCCTCAACACCACAGCCTGCTCCTCAACACCACATCCTGCTCCTCAACACCATACATCCTGCTCCTCAACACCACTCTTCAATTTGCTTTCATTTTCTCTGAGACTGCTGAGAGATCTCGACCAAGTAAAGTGTTTGACCCCACACGAATATGTCCTCTGCTACAACTTGTAGTTATTCATATCATTACTCAGGACTTCAGCACTTCACATTCAATAGCTTTGATGAAAGTTGTTGTAATGTAAGATTTAAGAGGGTGTTAATTAGGTGATATTAAAACTAATTTGTATCATAAATCACAACATTGTGGCTTGGAAAAAAAAAAACAAAAAACATTGCACTCCTGCAGTCAATTTAGTCTAAACATGGTGTATCAGAGTGTAGACTGAAGTCTAAACATGGTGTAACAGACTTCTGGAGAGGATATGTGCTCCAGGTGATATGAGCTCCTATTTGTTGATATAGAGTAATCTGCCTTCAGGCTCAAGTCATTTCAAAGGATCAAGTACAAGCACGGAGGCTTTTGATTAGACACTACCATGTTTCCAGAGTGATACAGACACATTTGAGCCATAGCTGTACATTTACGTCATTTAGCAGATGCTCTTATCCAGAGCGACTTACAGTTAGTGAGTGCATACATTATCATACTGGCCCCCCTGTGGGAATTGAACCCACAACCCTGGCGTTGCAAACGCCATGCTCTACCAACTGAGCTTCATCCCTGCTGGCCATTCCCTCCCCTACACTGGACGATGCTGGGCTAATTGTGCGCCGCCCCATGGGTCTCCCGGTCGCGGCCGGCTACGACAGAGCCTGGATTCGAACCAGTGGCACAGCTAGCACTGCGATGCAGCGCCTTAGACCACTGCGCCACAACTCTCTCTCTAGCATTTAAAGAACGGTTTCAATAATGGCTACTTTATTATAGAAGTTTTTATTTATTTTTTATTTCACCTTTATTTAACCAGGTAAGCCAGTTGAGAACAAGTTCTCATTTACAACTGCGACCTGGCCAAGATAAAGCAAAGCAGTGCGATAAAAACAACAACACAGAGTTACATATTACATATGGGGTAAAACAAAACATACAGTCAAAAATACAACAGAAAATATATATACAGTGTGTGCAAATGTAGTAAGTTATGGAGGTAAGGCAATAAATAGGCCATAATGCAAAATAGTTACAATTTAGTATTAACACTGGAATGATAGATGTGCAAGAGATGATGTGCAAATAGAGATACTGGGGTGCAAATGAGCAAAATAAATAACAATATGGGGATGAGGTAGTTGGGTGGGCTAATTTCAGTAGAAGTAGAAGAAGCACTGCTGGGGAATCTGACACATTTCTTACATTTTACCAATTTCAAAATAGCACCAATTGAAGAGCAAGAAACTAAAACTAAATGTTCCTGCAGGACTGTTTTTATCTCCACTTCCTGTGTGAAATAGTCTTGGGTATTGATAAAGCACATTGCAGCCAGGACAGGTCCTGCAGACACACCGAGGATGTGCTATTTCGGGCCCAGAGTAGTGCACTATATAGGGAATAGGGTGCCATTTGGGATGTGCACTATATAAGGATGAGGGTGCCATTTGGGATGTGCACTATATAGGGAATAGGGTGCCATTTGGGATGTGCACTATATAGGGAATAGGGTGCCATTTGGGATGTGCACTATATAAGGATGAGGGTGCCATTTGGGATGTGCACTATATAGGGAATAGGGTGCCATTTGGGATGTGCACTATATAGGGAATAGGGTGCCATTTGGGATGTGCACTATATAGGGAATAGGGTGCCATTTGGGATGTGCACTATATAGGGAATAGGGTGCCATTTGGGATGTGCACTATATAGGGAATAGGGTGCCCTTTGGGATGTGCACTATATAGGGAATAGGGTGCCATTTGGGATGCGCTCTCAGGCTTCAGAGAATTACTGCTATTAAAATGGAAATATACCACAGTCAGTTAGTTGACGTTCTAGGTTTTTTAGAAATATATTATTTATGGAAGAGAAGCATTGACAATTACAGATCAGGCTATCTGAGGGACCGCTCACTATTCTCTCAGAACCAGAAGTATGGACTATAAGGGGAGGGAGAGAGAGAGAAGAGAGAGACAGAGACAGAGACAGAGACAGAGACAGAGAGAGAGAGAGAGAGAGAGAGAGAGAGAGAGAGAGAGAGGAGAGAGAGAGAGAGAGACAGAGACAGAGACAGAGACAGAGACAGAGAGAGAGAGAGAGAGAGAGAGACAGAGACAGAGACAGAGACAGAGACAGAGACAGAGACAGAGACAGAGACAGAGACAGAGACAGAGACAGAGACAGAATTGGAGTACATGTGTAAATTCAACCTGAGCTCAAATATAATGTTGGGTGAGGCAAGCATCTCATTAACATATCTCAGTCTTAATAGTATACAATCTGTTGTTTGTTTACATCTACAGAATAACAATATGTGTAATCAATTAATATCAGAACAGTCGGGTCTGATTTCCACTTCCACTGGAGTGGAAATCAGACCCACTGATTTCCACTTCAGCAGATTAAACAGAGGAAACCCAATGGGACCCAACACTTCATCAGCGTCACACACACACACACACACACACACACACACACACACACACACACACACACACACACACACACACACATTAGAAAGACCAGTGGATATCATCAGTGTCACCACATCATAAAGAACGGAGGGGAACGGTGGGTAGCCTATTTAAAACAAACCAAAAGGGCTTAATCCCACACTTTTTAAAGGGGCTTCAAACTAATCTCACTTGAAAAGGAAGGAAACCCTGGCACGGGTCCAATCTCTGCCAACTGTTCAGCCAGCACCGCCTGCCAGGAGTCTCAAACAGAACGACACACTGTTAGACTGGGATACTTAGTCTTGAGTGTATTTGAGATTGTGCATATTGTTCTCTGTGAGTGGTAGGAACCTAGCCTGAAATCCAGACCTGTTTTTGTGCTAACATTCCACTCCTTGTACTCTGTGTCATATGTTTGGCATTACAAGGATACAAGGAGTGGCAAAGAGTGGAATGATAGCACAAAGAGACTGGTATCCAGGCTAGGTGGAACCCCCCCCCCTCTGGGTAAAAACAAACCCATAATCATCTTCAAGAGAGTCACCTCTTTTATAAACGGTTCCTGCAAACAGGTGTAACCCTTGTAAGTAACCATGTGAATTGTAATTACACAATATCTCTCTAGCTGCCAATGTTAGTGCTATATAAATACATTGGCAATATAGGGAAAATTATTGTAAAATAACACCAAATGATCAGATAACAACAGTCTGTAGCACACTGAAAATATGGGACTATGAAAAAGTCAGGATACTTCAATGCAAGCATCATCATTAGGCTATATGTATAGCAGTGGCGGTCGGTCACGTTTAACATAAGGGAGGATGATTTTTATTTTATTTTTAATGAGCAAGGCCTTATTTCTATTACAGCATATTGGATGACTGTCATTCATATTCCATTCACGATAGTGTCACGACTTCCTCCGAAGCTGCCTCCTCTCCTGGTTCGGTCAGGCTTCGGCGTTCGTCGTCACCGGCCTTCTAGCCACTGCCGCTCCTCATCTCATCGTTTCCATTTGTTTTGTTTATTGCACACACCTGGTTCATATCCCCTCATCAGTACCTGTATAAGTGTTCCCTCTGCCCCCTTGTCTTTGTGTGTGATTGTTTATTGTAAAGCTTGGTGGAGCTCGGTGGAGCTCCTTGTATTTTGTATCACCGGGTTATTTTCCTCGTGTGCCTTCGTGGTTTCAGTGCGCTTGTTTTGCGCACTGGACTGTTTGACGCTTTTTGCGTAACTCTGTGTTCCGGAATAAATCCTGTTATTCTGTGATTTACCCTCCTGCGCCTGACTCCTTCTAATCACCGCATCACAGATAGGTTTAGGCTACTACATGATACTCAAATGTTCCCTATAACCATCATGAGGTTGCTACAACATAGCCTAAGAATTTAAGTTCACAACATATGTGCACAGGTCGAGAGAAAAATGTGAGTAATGAAGATGACAGACAGTGACACATTCAATACTGCCTTGCACACTCTGGCCTGCATCTAGCTGATCTAGGGTGTAATCATTAGTCCAAACAGTTGCAAACAAAGGTTTCTATTGGACAAATCATATTGGGCAAATCCAGGTATGCTTATCCTCGTTTCGTTCCGTTTGAGACACGTTTTAAGAAACGTTTTGAATGAATACTCCCCTGATCATCCGCAAACACAGTTCCCTTTCATAGCAGCCACATGCAAACAGCAGGATCACTTTGCTCAATGTATAATTCCTTCTCTAATGTACGCGCTCTCCTCCTCGTATCTCTTCCCTCCGCTTGTGGACTTCACAACACATCAGCTGTCTGTGACCAGGCGGAAAAAACCTCTCCAATCCAAACCTTCATATCATAACCGCTAACCGCTACATACAGCCTACATCGTTGTCACCATATTAGATAACGTCATAGTCAACATAGCTACTAGAACTAACGCGTTAGTAAACCTGCTACAATCACGTAGTACAGCGTACAGCAAGCAATTTAGCAGTTACACCGGCGGTCCCGGTGGCAATAAATTAATACAACCAAAAGCTTACCTTGACTTGGAATAGATCCAGTGTAGGATAGCCATAGCCAGCTAGCTAACATAGCATCCCTCTCTGTTTGAGTAGGCTAAACTAGCTAGCTGCATTCCGTGGTGAGTAAGTGGAAGTGAAAAAATACAACAAAATATCTCTCTCGCTCTCTCTCTCTCTCTCTCTCTCCTCTCTCTCTCATTTTTGAAGAAATTAATTTGTTCAAAACTGTCCAACTATTGCCTTTCTCTCTCTTTGAGTCAACTACTCACCACATGTTATGCACTGCAGTGCTAGCTAGCTGTAGCTTATGCTTTCAGTACTAGATTAATTCTCTGATCCTTTGATTGGGTGGACAACATGTCAATTCATGCTGCAAGAGCTCTGATAGGTTGGAGGGCGTCTCTATGGAAGGGGGTGAGAACCATGAGCCTCCAAGGTTTTGTATTGAAGTCAAACTACCCAGAGGAGGACAGAAGCTAGCTGTCCTCCGGCTACACCATGGTGCTACCCTACAGAGTGCTGTTGAGGCTACTGTAGACCTTCACTGCAAAACAGTGTGTTTTAATCAATTATTTGGTGACGTGAAAATATTTAGTATAGTTTTATCTCAAATGGTGATCCTCTGTAGCTCAGCTGGTAGAGCATGGCGCTTGTAACACCAAGGTAGTGGGTTCGATCCCCGAGACCACCCATACACAAAAAAATATATATATAATGTATGCACGCATGACTGTAAGTCGCTTTGGATGAAAGCGTCTGCTAAATGGCCTATTATTATTATAAAAGGATAACTTTTTTAAATATTTCACTATTTTTACTTTGATGAAATTCACTGAAGAGGATGGTCCTCCCCTTCCTCCTCTGATGAGCCTCCACTGATGTATAGTCAATACAAGCAATACTAAGTTCCTGCATTTCAACACATTTTGCCATGGGGCAGAGAGAATAAATAGCAGTTTTATAATGCTATTCTATATATTCCCAAGTTCTCTCACGTCACCCTGCTCCTCCGCACACTCCACTGGCTTCCAGTTGAAGCTCGCATCCGTTACAAGACCATGGTGCTTGCCTATGGAGCAGTGAGGGGAACGGCACCTCCGTACCTTCAGGCTCTGATCAGTCCCTACACCCAAACGAGGGCATTGCGTTCATCCACCTCTGGCCTGCTGGCTCCCCCTACCTCTACGGAGGCACAGTTCCCGCTCAGCCCAGTCAAAACTGTTCGCTGCTCTGGCACCCCAATGGTGGAACAAGCTCCCTCACGACGCCAGGACAGCGGAGTCACTCACCACCTTCCGGAGACATTTGAAACCCCACCTCTTTAAGGAATACCTGGGATAGGATAATGTAATCCTTCTACCCCCCCTTACCCCACCCCCCCAACAAAAAAAACATTGTAAAGTGGTTATCCCACTGGCTATAAGGTGAATGCACCAATTTGTAAGTGGCTCTGGATAAGAGCGTCTGCTAAATGATGTAAATGTAAATGTACTGTATTTTGTCATGAGGCAGTGAATTTTGTATGCAGTTTTAAAGCTAATTTACTGCCATTCTACACATTTTGCCATTGTTTATGATGCGTTCATATGCTTTCTGGGGCCGAACTCCAGGGGGCTTGCCCTGCGTGCCTGTTTGGTAATCTTACCCTGACCAGCTGCATGTTTCGGGATGCTTAGAAAGACGGAAAAACGGTGCTTAACAGAAAAATCAGTCAACATTTCAGCAGAGGCTTCTGAAACGACTGGACGGATAAATGAAAGCGTAGACGACTCTAACAACATCAGTTGGAGGGGAATGCAATTTAAGCGAATATAGACAGAGTAATTCATTTTAGATACTGTTTATTTATTTTGATTCCATTGAACACGTTTCCAACTTGCACAAGACTATATAGTCTAGGCTATACATTCTTATTATATGCATCCCATGCAAAATTCAGTATCGTGGCTCCAGGTATAAATTGTACAGATTATAATAAACATAAAATATTGCAACAAATAAGAACTATGTTACTCACCATCTCTGGGTCCAGAAGATTCAGAATAATTAGTCTTTGTCGGTGAAGAAAAACAATGATTTGAAATGAAGTGAAATGCAACTCTGTACAGTGGTGTAGTGGTCGACTTGATGCGATATTAACCCCGTCCTTCTATTCTAGGATAAACAAACCCCTGTCGCCTAAATGCTGTACCTGTACAGACAAACATTTCCCCCGCACAACCGAACGGTCTCCAGCTCAATGAAAGACTCCGGCTGGCTCCTTCCGCTCGATTCATTCACTCATTCGCCGCTGGAATTGCCCAGAACGCTTGGAAAACGCTCCGCTATCAGCTTCGGCGTGATTGGACGGAGTGACAATGACGTGCCACAGCAGGTGGCACAAAAGGCAAGGTGATCCAAACGTCTCCAGCAGCCCTCGGTTATGGTACAACGTGTCCAAGTGCAGCTCACAGTATTAATACCAGCTGATCCTCTGTTTTAAAAGCGCTTTCACAAAGGATATGTATGCCTTCGATGATCAATGCGATATAAACACCATCTCTGAACGCCCGGGACTTTTAAGCAGTGCTTGCACATAAAATATAAGACATAGACTACTATATATCTTGGTCACAATCTCCTAAAAGCGACCTCATCCTCTGGGCTATTGTTGAAGTCTTGGCCCCAGTCTCTCCCACAGTCACTGCAGAAATATCCCTCAATGAAAAAGTTGAGCTCTCCTCTCTGCAGATGACATCCACCTCACTGCTGCTGATGTGCCCTAGCTCCCGTTATGCACAGACAGACAACCACAGGATCTCTCTGCCCTCTGATTCTGTTCACCGGCTGTCTGTAGGCATACCAGGAGGTAACGGGATACCAGGAGGTAACGGGATACCAGGAGGTAACGAGATACCAGGAGGTAACGGGATACATTTACATTTTTAGTCATTTAGCAGACGCTCTTATCCAGAGCGACTTACGGGAGCAATTAGGGTTAAGTGCCTTGCTTAAGGGCACATCGACAGATTTTTCACCTAGTCGGCTCAGGGATTAGAACCAGCGACCTTTCGGTTACTGGCACAACGCTCTTACCCACTAAGCTACCTGCCGCCCTAGGAGGTAACGGGATACCAGGGATACCAGGAGGTAACAGGATACCAGGAGGTAACGGGATACCAGGAGGTAACAGGATATCAGGAGGTAACGGGATACCAGGAGGTAACGGGATACCAGGAGGTAACGGGATACCAGGGATACCAGGAGGTAACGGGATACCAGGGATACCAGGAGGTAACGGGATACCAGGAGGTAACGGGATACCAGGAGGTAACGGGATAAGTAACGTCATACTGGGAGGTAACGGGGTAACGGGAGATAACGGCATACCAGGAGATAACGGGAGGTAACAGGAGGTACCGGGAGGTAACGGGATACTGGGAGGTAACGGGATACCGGGAGGTAACGGGAGGTAACGGGATACTGGGAGGTAACGGGATACCGGGAGGTAACGGGATACCGGGAGGTAACGGGAGGTAACGGGATACTGGGAGGTAACGGCATACCGGGAGGTAAAAGGAAACTGGGAGGTAAAGGGATAACAGGAGGTAACGGGACAACGGGATAACAGTAGGTAACGGGATACCGGGAGGTAACGGGACAACGGGATAACAGTAGGTAACGGAATACCGGGAGGTAACGGGATACCGGGAGGTAACGGGATACCGGGAGGTAACGGGATACCAGGAGGTAACAGTAGGTAACGGAATAATGGGAGGTAACGGAATACCGGGAGGTAACGGTATAACGGGATAACAGTAGGTAACGGAATACCGGGAGGTAACGGGATACCGGGAGGTAACGGTATAACGGGATAACAGTAGGTAACGGAATAATGGGAGGTAACGGAATAACGGGAGGTAACAGCATACCGGGAGGTAACGGGATAACGGGAGGTAACAGCATACCGGGAGGTAACAGGATACCGGGAGCAGTGGCGGCTCCTGAAAAAATTCTCAGGGGGGGCAATTTTTCTGATGATTTAGGTGACCTACACACATTTTAAAAAAGATATGTCCAGCAACAACATGAAGACAGGGGCAGCATATAAGTCAATACCAGAAGCATTTATTGACTGATCTCAAAAGTGTTGGCTTACCAGGGTTGGTGGAGCCCTCAGTTTCATCTTTGCCTCGCAAAGCTAACTCAAACACTCCGCAAAACTTCACACACTGGATTAGCCGGCTGAGGATGTGGCGGTTCTTGCTAATGTCGTAGTAAATATATTTGTTATAGTGAATATGGAATATGATATGTTGAGTAAAATGTTGTGCTAAGATCTATTTAGGTCAGGAGCTGGTTATAAGTTCTGTTCCTATCCAATAACAATGGACAAAAGGGTCCTATCTTGTCAGCCTTGTCAGTTTCAGTTCTCCAGTAAACTTGTGATTATCAACACTAACCTCATCGTTGTGGCGGCGGACAGCTAGCCTGTATCCCTCATCCAGTTGAGTGGGAATGTTCACTCTCCCCAAAGCAGACAATCTCAAACAGCTATCCATGTGGGTCTTTGACAGCTCATGTTTCTTAATCTTTCCTGAAAGATGGTGCATGTCCGTTACACACCAGTCGCTGTCCAAGCGGTGCTGTCTGCCGTGCCGCCTTCAGGGTGAAAGAGTAAGCAGGGGGTAGCAGAAGACTGCATTAGCTACATCGCAGCCTGCTAGCCAGGTTTTTCGTTCGTACCAATTTTTGGAAAATCCTCGGGTGTAGGACTTCCCCCCTTTAGTAGAAACCTGTTGAATTATTAAATTTGGTCTGGGAGGTCCTAATTGTTTCGTTGCCAATTTATCTTCATTTGTTCGCCGACAAAAAGGAACTTCTTTCAAAGACACAATCGAGTTGCACTGAAGCCTAGCCATTTTGATAGTAGTAGTGAATTGATTGACGAGGCTACCCGCTCTTTTCTTAGTTACGTTCATCGTTATGTTACGTATGACGAAAGCGCGTAAGTGCAAGCCCTCAGAAACCCATAGAGATTGTATTGAAAGCTCTGATATTTGAAAAAAATTGATTTTACATGGGAGTCTATGACAGACTTCTGGGCGATTTTCAACCTGACTGAAATCGCCCCAAAAGGGGGGGGGGGGCATTTGAAGCACGACTTTAGCCTGATTGGACATTTAGTGGCACTGTGGCAGATCAGACGTCTAGATTACAACACTGATAACTACTGTTGCCGTGATATAATTGATTAGAAAAAAAATCCCTTCCTTTTCCCGTTTGGCAGTGCGTCGCCCATATCGCCCTATTGAACACACCGCCCCTGACCGGGAGGTAACGAGATAACGGTAGGTAACGGGATAACAGGAGGTAACGGGAGGTAACGCGATAACGGTAGGTAACGGGATAACAGGAGGTAACAGCGTACCTGGAGGTAACAGGATACCGGGAGGTAACGGGATAACAGGAGGTAACGTGAGGTAACGAGATAACGGGAGGTAACAGCATACCGGGAGGTAGCAGGATAACGGGAGGTAACAGGATAACGGGAGGTAACAGGATAACGGGAGGTAACAGCATACCGGGAGGTAACAGCATACCGGGAGGTAGCAGGATAACGGGAGGTAACAGGATAACGGGAGGTAACAGCATACCGGGAGGTAACAGCATACCGGGAGGTAACAGCATACCGGGAGGTAGCAGGATAACGGGAGGTAACAGGATAACGGGAGGTAACAGGATAACGGGAGGTAACAGGATAACGGGAGGTAACGGGATAACAGGAGGTAACAGGATAACGGGAGGTAACGGGATAACAGGAGGTAACAGGATAACGGGAGGTAACAGGATAACGGGAGGTAACAGGATAACGGGAGGTAACGGGATACCGGGAGGTAACAGGATAACGGGAGGTAACGGGATAACAGGAGGTAACAGGATAACGGGAGGTAACAGGATAACGGGAGGTAACAGGATAACGGGAGGTAACAGGATAACGGGAGGTAACAGGATAACAGGAGGTAACAGCATACCGGGAGGTAACAGGATAACGGGAGGTAACAGCATACCGGGAGGTAACGGGATAACGGGAGGTAACAGGATAACGGGAGGTAACGGGATAACAGGAGGTAACAGGATAACGGGAGGTAACAGGATAACGGGAGGTAACATGATAACGGGAGGTAACAGTGATAACGGGAGGTAACAGGATAACAGTAGGTAACAAGCATACCGGGAGGTAACAGGATAACGGGAGGTAACAGCATACCGGGAGGTAACAGGATAACAGGAGGTAACAGGATCACGGGAGGTAACAGGATAACAGGAGGTAACGGGATAACGGGAGGTAACAGGATAACAGGAGGTAACAGGATAACGGGAGGTAACAGGATAACAGGAGGTAACAGCATACCGGGAGGTAACAGGATAACGGGAGGTAACGGGATACCGGGAGGTAACAGGATAACGGGAGGTAACGGGATAACGGGAGGTAACAGGATAACGGGAGGTAACAGGATAACGGGAGGTAACAGGATAACGGGAGGTAACAGGATAACGGGAGGTAACAGGATAACGGGAGGTAACAGGATAACGGGAGGTAACAGGATAACGGGAGGTAACAGGATAACGGGAGGTAACAGGATAACGGGAGGTAACAGGATAACAGGAGGTAACAGCATACCGGGAGGTAACGGGATACCGGGAGGTAACAGGATAACGGGAGGTAACAGGATAACGGGAGGTAACGGGATAACAGGAGGTAACAGCATACCTGGAGGTAACAGGATACCGGGAGGTAACGGGATAACAGGAGGTAACAGGATACCGGGAGGTAACGGGATAACAGGAGGTAACGTGAGGTAACGAGATAACGGTAGGTAACAGCATACCGGGAGGTAACGGGATAACGGGAGGTAACAAAAATAGGAATAAAGGAGGTCTAAAATAGTAACCCATCCACACAGACTATTACATTACTATTACTATATATATATATCATCACACTCTGCCCCCTAGAGGACCAGCCATCCACACAGACTATTACATTACTATTACTATATATATATATCATCACACTCTGCCCCCTAGAGGACCAGCCATCCACACAGACTATTACATTACTATTACTATATATATATATCATCACACTCTGCCCCCAAGAGGACCCAGCCATCCACACAGACTATTACATTACTATTACTATATATATATATATCATCACACTCTGCCCCCAAGAGGACACAGCCATCCACACAGACTATTACATTACTATTACTATATATATATATATATATCATCACACTCTGCCCCCAAGAGGACACAGCCATCCACACAGACTATTACATTACTATTACTATATATATATATATATATATCATCACACTCTGCCCCCAAGAGGACCAGCCATCCACACAGGCTATTACATTACTATTACTATATATATATATATATCATCACACTCTGCCCCCAAGAGGACACAGCCATCCACACAGACTATTACATTACTATTACTATATATATATATCATCACACTCTGCCCCCAAGAGGACCAGCCATCCACACAGACTATTACATTACTATTACTATATATATATATCATCACACTCTGCCCCCAAGAGGACACAGCCATCCACACAGACTATTACATTACTATTACTATATATATATATATCATCACACTCTGCCCCCAAGAGGACACAGCCATCCACACAGACTATTACATTACTATTACTATATATATATATATCATCACACTCTGCCCCCTAGAGGACACAGCCATCCACACAGACTATTACATTACTATTACTATATATATATATCATCACACTCTGCCCCCAAGAGGACCCAGCCATCCACACAGACTATTACATTACTATTACTATATATATATATATATATATCATCACACTCTGCCCCCAAGAGGACAGACTATTACATTACTATTACTATATATATATATCATCACACTCTGCCCCCAAGAGGACACAGCCATCCACACAGACTATTACATTACTATTACTATATATATATATCATCACACTCTGCCCCCAAGAGGACACAGCCATCCACACAGACTATTACATTACTATTACTATATATATATATCACCACACTCTGCCCCCAAGAGGACGAGGCCATCCACACAGACTATTACATTACTATTACTATATATATATATCATCACACTCTGCCCCCAAGAGGACGCAGCCATCCACACAGACTATTACATTACTATTACTATATATATATCATCACACTCTGCCCCCAAGAGGACACAGCCATCCACACAGACTATTACATTACTATTACTATATATATATATCATCACACTCTGCCCCCAAGAGGACCAGCCATCCACACAGACTATTACATTACTATTACTATATATATATATATATCATCACACTCTGCCCCCAAGAGGACACAGCCATCCACACAGACTATTACATGCATGCATTCAGATCCATAGTAGATAAACAGCATCAGTTATTTACCAAGTCTCCTATGACAAGAAAAACATCAACAATGGAGTGTAGGTCACCTCAAGTCATATTCTTAAATAAATTCAAAGAGGTCTTTCATTAATTGGAAACATACTGAACATCTGACTGAATGCGTCTTTGATATCAACAGTCACACAGGGCCTATGTAGCAGTCCTAATAATCTACCTGATGGTTACTGTCAGCTGAATAAATCATGTCTCATTTGGTCCAACTCTTAATCATGTACTGATGGTTACTGTCAGCTGAATAAATCATGTCTCATTTGGCCCAACTCTTAATCATGTACTGATGGTTACTGTCAGCTGAATAAATCATGTCTCATTTGGTCCAACTCTTCATCATGTACTGTTGGTTACTGTCAGCTGAATAAATCATGTCTCATTTGGTCCAACTCTTAATCATGTACTGATGCTGTCAGCTGAATAAATCATGTCTCATTTGGTCCAACTCTTAATCATGTACTGTTGGTTACTGCCAGCTGAATAAATCATGTCTCATTTGGCCCAACTCTTAATCATGTACTGATGCTGTCAGCTGAATAAATCATGTCTCATTTGGTCCAACTCTTAATCATGTACTGATGCTGTCAGCTGAATAAATCATGTCTCATTTGGTCCAACTCTTAATCATGTACTGATGCTGTCAGCTGAATAAATCATGTCTCATTTGGTCCAACTCTTAATCATGTACTGATGCTGTCAGCTGAATAAATCATGTCTCATTTGGTCCAACTCTTAATCATGTACTGATGCTGTCAGCTGAATAAATCATGTCTCATTTGGTCCAACTCTTAATCATGTACTGTTGGTTACTGCCAGCTGAATAAATCATGTCTCATTTGGCCCAACTCTTAATCATGTACTGATGCTGTCAGCTGAATAAATCATGTCTCATTTGGTCCAACTCTTAATCATGTACTGATGCTGTCAGCTGAATAAATCATGTCTCATTTGGCCCAACTCTTAATCATGTACTGATGCTGTCAGCTGAATAAATCATGTCTCATTTGGTCCAACTCTTAATCATGTACTGATGCTGTCAGCTGAATAAATCATGTCTCATTTGGTCCAACTCTTAATCATGTACTGATGCTGTCAGCTGAATAAATCATGTCTCATTTGGTCCAACTCTTAATCATGTACTGATGCTGTCAGCTGAATAAATCATGTCTCATTTGGCCCAACTCTTAATCATGTACTGATACTGTCAGCTGAATAAATCATGTCTCATTTGGCCCAACTCTTAATCATGTACTGATACTGTCAGCTGAATAAATCATGTCTCATTTGGTCCAACTCTTAATCATGTACTGATACTGTCAGATGAATAAATCTTGTCTCATTTGGTCCAACTCTTAATTAACTTTCCAGAGACAAAGGAAAGCCAAGCCAAGCTCTGTAACCTCTCCTGTTAAGTGATTCTCAAATGGCACCCTATTCCCTATATAGTAGTGCACTACTATTGACCAGAGCCCTATGAGCCCTATGGAGCCTTGTCCAAAGTAGTGCACTATATAGGGAATAGGGTGTCATAGGGCTCTGGTCTAAAGTAGTGCACTATATAGGGAATAGGGTGTCATAGGGCTCTGGTCTAAAGTAGTGCACTATATAGGGAATAGGGTGTCATAGGGCTCTGGTCTAAAGTAGTGCACTATATAGGGAATAGGGTGCCATAGGGCTCTGGTCTAAAGTAGTGCACTATATAGGGAATAGGGTGCCATAGGGCTCTGGTCTAAAGTAGTGCACTATATAGGGAATAGGGTGTCATAGGGCTCTGGTCTAAAGTAGTGCACTATGTAGGGAATAGGGTGTCATAGGGCTCTGGTCTAAAGTAGTGCACTATATAGGGAATAGGGTGCCATAGGGCTCTGGTCTAAAGTAGTGCACTATATAGGGAATAGGGTGTCATAGGGCTCTGGTCTAAAGTAGTGCACTATATAGGGAATAGGGTGCCATAGGGCTCTGGTCTAAAGTAGTGCACTATATAGGGAATAGGGTGCCATTTGAGAGGCATGCTTAGCTAGGGCAAGAGGTTATTCCTCCCATTTCTGAGGGAGCCACACAACATCACAGGCAAGGAACAGACACAACAAGTACATGCCCAATCAATCTAGCCAGCCATGTACTGACCTCCCTTTCAACATCCTCAACTGTAATTGAAAAGGAATTATTCAATATTGTCTCTCTTATCTACAAGAATCGGAGACTGCTGCAGACAGAACTGTAGTTAAATATATTTTACTGTTAAAAGAGATTCTCCAGTACTTTTGTATACTTTTTAAGCCAGTAGTTCTGAAAGTAGTGCTCATGAGCCAAAAATGGTCCCCGAAAATTACTACATCACAAGTGCAGATATGTGCACCATGTCATCGCTCTCTCTCTCGCTCTGCTGTGTGTACATGATGTGCATCTTGCCAGCTGTCACTCACATGGCTAGGGGCTGAAGCTCATTGGTTGAACTGAAATTGCTAGGGGGGGTGGCCATTGTGGGGGAAAATGTAGGGAAAATGGCGCAGCACAGCTTCCAGAAAAACAGTCGCTTTCAAACTAGGGATTTCGTAAAAAATACTTAGTAGTCACCAAAGTTCCGGAGCATGTCTTTAATGCTGCCACCAAAGTACTGGAGCATGTCTTTAATGCTGCCACCAAAGTACCGGAGCATGTCTTTAATGCTGCCACCAAAGTACCGGAGCATGTCTTTAATGCTGCCACCAAAGTACTGGAGCATGTCTTTAATGCTGCCACCAAAGTACCGGAGTATGTCTTTAATGCTGCCACCAAAGTACTGGAGCATGTCTTTAATGCTGCCACCAAAGTACTGGAGCATGTCTTTAATGCTGCCACCAAAGTACTGGGGCATGTCTTTAATGCTGCCACCAAAGTACTGGAGCATGTCTTTAATGCTGCCACCAAAGTACTGGGGCATGTCTTTAATGCTGCCACCAAAGTACTGGGGCATGTCTTTAATGCTGCCACCAAAGTACCGGAGCATGTCTTTAATGCTGCCACCAAAGTACTGGAGCATGTCTTTAATGCTGCCACCGAATCTGAATTTAGAATAACAAGAATGGAATAAAAATACTAAGTAGTGACAGTATGTCTATCCCAAATCGAACCCTATTCACCATGTAGTGAAGTGCCTTTGAGACCCCATAGGGCTCTGGTCAAATTAAGTGCACTATACAGGGAACATGGTGTCATTAGGGACCTAGAATGTATAACAACAATGAATGTGGATTTTCATTCATAGCCTTCTAATGGATTTCATAATCACTTTTGTAAGAGCCGTTTTTGATCATTTCTTTGAACCAGTTTCATAATACAGTAATCTAGGTATGAGGGAACGAGTTCCACGTGGTTTTCAGTCAGGCTCCATCGGGTGGTCTCAGCTAAACTTATCTGACCTGACTAACATCAATTACTGGGGTCACAGACCACACAGCTTGAATGAATGGTATACACGTTGGGTAATGTACAGTGATGTGAAAAAGCATTGGCCCCCTTTCTAATTTTCTCTATTTTTGCATATTTCTGATGCTGAATATTATCAGATCTTCAACCAAACCCTAATATTAGATAAAGGGAACCCGAGTGAACAAATAACACAACAATTACATACTTATTTCATTTATTTCATAAACAAAGTTATGCAACACCCAATGCCCCCGTGTGAAAAAGTAATTGCCCCCTTACACTCAATAACAGCTTTAGCTGCAATGACTCCAGCCAAACACTTTCTGTAGTTGTTGATCAATCCCATTATGGGTCCCGTTGTGCCTCGCAAAAACCAAACACTGCATTCCACAGTAAGAACCTCATACCAACAGTCAAGCACGGTGGTGGTGGGGTGATGGTTTGGGGATGCTTTGCTGCCTCAGGACCTGGACGACTTGCCTTAATAGAAGGAGCCATGAATTCTGCTCTGTATCAGAGGATTCTACAGGAGAATGTCAGACCATCCGTCCGTGAGCTGAAGCTGAAGCGCAGCTGGGTCATGCAGCAAGACAATGATCCAAAACACACAATCAAGTCTACATGAAAATGGTTTAAAAGCAACACATTTGAAGTTTTGGAATGGCCTAGTCAAAGTCCAGACCTAATCACAATTGAGATGTTGTGGCAGGACTTGAAAAACGAGCAGTTCATGCTTGAAAACCCACAAATGTTGCTGAGTTAAAGCAGTTCCGCATGCAAGAGTGGGCCAAAATTCCTCCACAGCGACGTGAGAGACTGATCAACAACTACAGGAAGCATTTGGTTGGAGTCATTGCAGCTAAAGGTGGCACAACCAGTTATGGAGTGTAAGAGGGCAATTACTTTTTCACACAGGGGAATTTGGTGTTGCATAACTTTGTTAATAAATAAAATAAGTATACATTCTTCTATTTTTTTTGTAAACTCAGGTTCCCTTTATCTAATCCTAGGTTTTGGTTGAAGATCTGATAACATTCAGTATCAAAAACATGTACAAATAGAGAAAATCAAGGGGGCAAATACTTTTTCACAGCCCTGTATCTCTGTCCCAAATGGCACCCTATTCCCTATTTAGTGCAACAATTTTGATAGGCTCTGGTCAAAAGTAGTGCACTACATAGGGAATACGGTGCTATTTGGGACGCATATGTTGCTTCATCATCTCAACAGGTGTTGAACAGTATAAACCAAGCTAAGGGCTCCACTCCTTACATGGCCAGACTTCCCACTGGGCAAAAACTGGTTGATGTTTCCACATTATTTCAACCCCCAAAAAAAACTTAACTGATGATGATGAATCAACTTGGGAAAACTGATTGGATTTTCAAAAAGTCATCAAGATAAGGGAATTCGTCTTTTTTTCAACCCAACTGTTAAACTAAATCCATCGTCATGGTGCCAGTTGTTGTTGATTTCACGTTGAATTCACGTTAGTTGACAACTCAACCAAATTTAAGTCAAAACTAGACGTTGAACTGACGTCTGTTGTCCAGTGGGTGGGTGCATCCCAAATGCACCCTGTTCTCTATATAGCGCACTACTTTAGACCAGAGCCCATAGGGTTGTAGTGCACTACATAGGGAATAGGGTGCTATTTGGGACACACTCACTGAGCGTTTTCGTCACGAACGTTGAGAGACGGGTCGGACCAAGGTGCAGCGTGAATAGCGTACATGTTTAATAACTAAATAAACATTCAACAAAACAAGAAACAACGTAACTTGAAGTCCAAAGGGCTATACACACACCAGACTAACAGGAACAAGATCCCACAATACACAGCAGGCAATGGGCTACCTAAGGATGATCCCCAATCAGAGACAACGAGCGACAGCTGCCTCTGATTGGGAATCACACCCGGCCAAACCTAGAAACACAACCTAGCACTGCAACATAGAAATAGACTAACCAGATCATAAACATAGAATATATAACATAGAAACTCATGCCCTGACCAAACCAACTAAAGACAACAGGCCTCTCAAGGCCAGGGCGTGACAGTTTTGTACTTCACCTCAACAGTCAGTGGAGAGGGGAGTGAGATGTGGGGCTGCATCGTTTTTTAGTCGAAATGTTTTACAATGTTGTAATGGGATCAAATTCAGGTTGTTCAGATGTATTATTACGTCTGTTGTAATCGGCTGTTTGTTCCACACAACAACCATTCAGATCAGATCAACAACAACAACAACAACAACCAATATTGTTGTGTGCTACGGCTGTTGCTGTTGGTGCTTTGTGATCATCTGAGGGCCCAGTGATCCTGAATACCAGAGATCTAAGACCGTCCACAGTCAGCAGCATCTACTATTCCGTTGATCTGTTCACAAACCATTTACTACAGAACATCTGCTGAACTGCATCTCAGCTGAGTAAACATAGTATAGGCCTACCTGGGAAACTCCCCCCGGACACTAACAGCACTTAGACTACGTCCCAAATGGCACCCTATTCCCTACGTAGTGCACTACTTTTGATCAGGGCCCTATAGGGTAGTGCACTACGCAGGGAAGAGTGGGTCATTTGGGACGCAGGCCGACGTCACTGCTGTTCAGACCGCAGCTACACCAAAACAACATTAACCGGTTGATTGTTTTCCCTCAAAGCTTTAGATAATAAACTTCGACATGAGACACATTAATCAAACGTGAACCCTTGTCATTTCTGAGGGTGTTTTCAGCTTATTATGGGATCAAAAAAAGACAGACGATTAATCACTGTGTCACCAAGTCACCAAATAGCATATCACGTTGGCAATATTGCATATCACGTTTGCAGTGACATTTTAAATGTATGTTTCCTGTTTACCAAGGCATCTGAAGTGGAAAGATATGTGTGTGTGTGTGTGTGTGTGTGTGTGTGTGTGTGTGTGTGTGTGTGTGTGTGCGTGTGCCTGCGTGTGTTTTTTTATAAATGATTTGACCATGCAGAGCAGGAAACCCTCAGAGGGTCTAATCAATGATTTAATAATAGTCATATAGTTTATAGGTTGAGAGGTTTTGTGAAAGAGCACAGTTTGAAAGATATGGCATCTAGAAGCAAACCGGATGGACATCATGAAAATGATCGGAGAGGTTGAGGGTAGAGGAAGTTCAGGAGTAAAAACAAACTAAATGGAATTATTGTAGAATTGACTGTGTCCATAAAATGTATATAGTATGTATAAGCTGGAAGTAAAGGCCTAAGCATTGTTGTTCGCTAGTTTACTCCAATTAGGGAAGGGTAATGTTCTAGGAATGTTCTCAAATAGTTCAGAGAACGTTAAGAAAAGAAAAAAATACATTATTCAGTGGGAATTCCAGCATAACGTTTCCTACAGGTTTCCTCGTGGTTCTATTTAAAATCATGATCTCAGAACGTTCAGAGAACGTTAAAAAACCATGTTCTTCTGTGGGAATTTCAGAAAACCTTAGTAACGTTCTGAGATGTTATTTATAAACATATTCATTAGGTTCTCAGAACATTAAGAAAGCATTAGTGATGTTCAAAGAACGTTCTAAGAATGTTATTTAAAAACATATACATTCCATTCTCAGCGTCAACAAACTGTGTTCACAAAATAACAACACGGCATGCTAGCTCCATCCTGGTGGTGCGGTGGACTAATTCCACGAATAGAAAACAGAAGATCATAGGTTTTGAATCTCACTGACGCCGTGTCCCAATAAAAAAGAAACGTGTTTGCACGATTAATGCCTAAGCAAATGAATGTCCATGTGTCCTATCTGTGGAGTTCAAAACAGTTAACCTAAGCTAGTAGTGTTATCAAAGTCTTACTGAAAATAACCGAACACCAATGTATTAAGACTACAACTCAGCTGGGAGTGGGACATGCTTTCAATGGTGCTCTCCAACACCCGACACAAACACTTTGGGGGGGGAGGGGGGGGGGGGGGGTTCCCTGACTGCACAGGAGGTTGGTGGCACCTTAATTGAGGAGGATGTGCACGTGGTAATGGCTTGAGTGGAATGGTATCAAATACATGAAACAGGTGGTTTCCATGTGTTTGATGCGATTCCATTCACTCCGTTCCAGCCGTTATTATAAGCCGTCCTCCCCTCTGCAGCCACCGGTGTCTGACTGGGACTCTAACCCTGGTCCCTGTGACTGTCATTCCAAAACCATTATCCCAAACCCTGGTCCCTGTGACTGTCATTCCAAAACCATTATATCAAACCCTGGTCTCTGTGACTGTCATTCCAAAACCATTATACCAAACCCTGGTCCCTGTGACTGTCATTCCAAAACCATTATCCCAAACCCTGGTCCCTGTGACTGTCATTCCAAAACCATTATCCCAAACCCTGGTCCCTGTGACTGTCATTCCAAAACCATTATACCAAACCCTGGTCCCTGTGACTGTCATTCCAAAACCATTATCCCAAACCCTGGTCCCTGTGACTGTCATTCCAAAACCATTATACCAAACCCTGGTCCCTGTGACTGTCATTCCAAAACCATTATACCAAACCCTGGTCCCTGTGACTGTCATTCCAAAACCATTATACCAAATCCTGGTCCTGTGACTGTCATTCCAAAACCATTATACC